GGCCGCCATATTAACTCAACATTATAACTGAGTTTATTCGATTCTGTTTAAATAAAAAATAATATTAATATTTAATTTTGTGCATCGTCGTCGCTTCCGGAAGATTGATCGTTGTGGCCTCAGCAGCAACTTTCCTTCGAACTTTTTATTCTAGAAATCCAAATCAATTTGCGTTGTACAAAAAAATACTTCTGTGCCTGAAACATTCCTTACTCTAAATTTCTCAATGGAAGCTGAGTGGTGAGCGGGCGACGATCCCACTCCACAGCCACCACATTTTCATTTAACGCGTGCTTTTGTTATTATTTGAATAAAGGAATTATTAAATTTATTTTAACAAAATTACATTTGGGCACTAATTGTGTTAGTGTATCATTCGTATCATAGAATTCATATTTTTCTTATTTTAAATAAATTTTGGTTTATTGACCAAAACTCCATCATATGATCACAAATCAGCTGTTTTTCATACCTTCTAGTATTTACTGGCTGAAATTCTCCCAGCACGAATTTGCAACTTTCTCTGCAACTAAACGTCAAAATTGCGCTCTCACGCTCTCAGTTTTTACTGGGTTTTCGTCTTAACGAACAGGATCCATTAAAGATTGGTAAAAATTGTTACTGTTCATCTAGTCAACGAACAAAACTAATGTTAACGCTGATTTTGTGCGGTTTCAATATTAACATACAAGTCATGTTTTACTAGCATTCAAATCGGAAGAATTTTCAGATTGAAAAGAGTCAGAGTGGCCAGACCACTGTACACTCTCCAGAAAAAAACATTAATTTAAATGCAGCTGGATATGAATCTGAAGTAGAGGTTTTATTAAAAAAAAAAAATCATTGCTCAAATTATCGTATTTTCAAATACTCGAAACTAAAAATACGTAAAGACATGTAATTTTTTTCCTAACATAAAATGGTTGTTGTGTGTGTTTCAAGTTTTCTAATTTCGTTCTGTTTTTATTCAAAGAATTTAAAAAATCTTGTTGAAGCAGATTCAAGTGCCGCAAGTGGCGCGAGGGGCACAGCACGACCGCTCGTTAGTGCGCTGTGTTGAAAAACAAATAAAATCTGTCTGCAGATGATATTGAGAGTCCATTTATTTTTGTAGTTAATCTAAATTTTTTTTTATTTCTGACGCGTGTGTTTAGAGATTAAGTAAGAAATCCAAAAATAACAAACGGAAATTAATAATCTTTTGTTGTTACTTTCGCTGCATTATTATTGTTTCAAAAATATGTATGTCTGTTACATATATAATATTTATGCCTGATGATTTATGATGAAATGTTTATATGAAAAATTACTATTTCATTTCCCGCAACTAATATATTATATATAATAAATGTATGTTCGCATTTAATATCAAATAAATTGAATTAAATGAAAATCAAATAAATAAGGCAGTAGTAAAAAAATCAAACGTAAAGTGATAAAAAATAAATAAATAAATTATTTTGCTTTTTGTTGTGATTCGTCAACCCACGCCGAAGCATTTAAATATTGCTAACATCTGTCTGCTGATGGCAATTTCAGATTTTTATTTCCTTTAAAATAGTTTACAATAGAAGAAGTGAAAAATTTGCTGTGAGAATATTTGTTAGCAACAACAAATTGAACAAGTGTTTTTGACTGTTATAATTTATGATCTAATAAAAAAAATGGGCAACGGTTGTTCGAAATGTTGTCAATGCAATGAACACAAGCAATATCACGGCACACTTTCATCGGCCTCGTCCATTTATAGAAGAAGGTACGTTGAACTGCATATAAATTTTAAATAAATATAATTAGTTTATATACTTAAATAGATATATGTACAGGGTGCTCCATCTTTTATGTCGAACAACTTTGAGAAAAAACAACCGATTTGTGTAAGTGATGTATTTTTATTCAGTTTGGTTCCTACAACAATTTTTTTGGACTAGCTTTTGAGAACAATATCAATCAATGTCTACTCAATCCTAAGAAAGACCTGTTGGCAAGAGTAAATCTGCGTTAGATTTAGAAGTTGATTTTTTTTTTTAAATTTTTCAGCAGTTCATCAACGGTGAGCTTTTGTGCTTCACACAAAACGTTAGATAGATGGAACCTTAGAGCATTCTTCCAACCGTCAAGCTTGTACTCATCAGACCAAATTTTGTTAAGAATTTTTTTCGATACGCGTACTCTATTTGCTCTGAACAGCGATCATCAAATACTCTGATGTTGAAACATACTATCCTATCTCTGGAGCCAAGATCGATTCGCTCGAAATTTAAATAATACTTTCTTTAGGGCAAAGGGACCACCGACAGATTGACAAATATTAGTATAATTAGGATGAAAGTCTAGATCGTGCGTAGGTATGTTCTCTTCGCATTTTTATTAAACCCTGCAATGCGTACTAACATGCAAAATTTTCCATTGGCTGATGTATTTTCACATCAGTTACAGGAAATGGGATTACATTATCCGATAACTTCTATAGCGACATCAAAACAAGAATTGATTAACGGGGTATTCCCATATATCCGATCTGTCTTCGATGCAACAAACCAATATGTCTACGATCTCAATCCCACTATTCATTCCAACAATGAAATAGACACCATTGTGAAAGCAGATGAGGCAGTTAATTATAATTGGATAATTTTATAACATATTAAATTTTGAAATCGGTATGCCCCCTATAATGCAACGTAATACTAATCAGTCGAAACTCTGCAACGGCACTCGACTGCAGTCAAAAAATTACAGAGGAATGTAGTAGAAGCACCAATTCCGGCCGGAACTTTCCAAGGTGAAAACCTCCCCATTGCTTGAATCCCTGTCACTCCGATAAGAGCAAAATTTCAAAATCAAATAAAGTTTTTGTAAGGTGGTAATCAAAAATCTTACACATGCATTTGGTGCTTTAAGACCACAGAAGTACAAAGAATTGTTAACAATGGACATTCTGAAGTCTTTATACCTTTCAGGTAGATAACACATTTATTGTATTGCATATCATGATTAAATATTGGAGGAGTGCATAAGTTCGTGCCCGATTTCAAGTGCAAACTAAATTTTTTTGAAGAAAGCGCTTTTATTAATCAATTATGTATTCGCCATAATGTTCGGCAATCCACTCTCAACGTTTAACCAATTTACGGATGCCTGANCGATTCGAACGGCATCCAGCGGAATCGGGCACGAACTTATGCACTCATGATATTATTTATCATACCAGAAAAATCGATTTCGATGATTTTCGGTATGATTGTTTATTTGTATATCTATACGTGCGCGGAATACCAAATTTCACCTTTTTAAATGCTTTTTGACTGTCTTTTGACTCAAACCCTTTCAACTGAACAAATTGGTTATGTGGAGCTAGCCTAAATTTGTTGTTGGGTATTTAAGCGTGGGACCTTGGGCAGCAGCCATAATATTCACCTAGGTATGTCGCTGCTACTTGTACATATATTGTATATTTATATACGAGTGCATGGCTCTTCAAATTTATGAGAAAACTTCTTTTACCCCTTTTCAGATTTCCATCCTATGTGGAAATCCTTAAGAGACCATTGTTGCCGATCTTACACCCTCTCTTTTGATTTCAACGGCCACAGCTGCCACTGAATGCTTTTAACTCTTATTTTCACACATATATTTTTCTCTCCATTCATTTTGATTGAATTTTTCGAAATAGGGGTTCCAAAATCCTTTGGTATGATTCTGTCATATTATTTTTTGAAGAAGTGTCTGATGATAGATTTTCAATCATATACTGTGTTGAGAGAGAATGTTGTATCTCAAGGAAGAAAATTGCTGATAGCATCCTAGCATGTACCTTAACAACGTCAAGTTTTGTATTTACCAAATTTATTTAGTACCGAATAAGTTTCATGAAACCCTGTATTTTATGTATATAGAAAATACTTCCAAATTTTCTATGACTCTCTGTGAATACCGAAAGATACCTATCATCTTAGTTTGGAGATAACTTTTGAAATCACAGCATGTTTATTTAATTATGGTAAAAAGGAGTATTGTACGTTATCTTATCTCATGTACAATACAAAACTACTAAATCAAACCGCAAACTTCAATGAATACCTGAATAGTGTCTTCCGAAGATGCGTTGAAAATTTTTTTTGGTCATTAACGACCCTTTTTAAAGTATGCTAAAAATAAGTTATTGTTCCTTTGATATGGAAAATATTTTTAATTGAAAATTATATGGGCTAAGATATCTGTCTGCTAAACCTAACCTTTTTTAAGGAATTATTATGACCCAAATAACTTTTTCCATATCAAAGAAATTTTATTTTCTTGGATTAAAGTCTAATCTATTGAATATATTTCATTTATAATAAAACACGAAAGATAGTCTTACGGATGTATCCTGAGCAGTGTTGCCCAAAATGGTATCAAAAAAGCAGTTTAAATCAGTCAAAAATTTTCTGAAAATCCGGAAAAAAATTTAAAAATTTTGCATTCAAAAACTTAATATGAATTATAAAATTTCTATAAATACATTGCATTTGCCAATATTGTAAACATATTTTATGTAATAATTTTTTTAATATTCAGTTCCAAAGTAGCAACTTTCCTGCACTTTCCAGTCGTAGAGGACATCTAAAATTTTTTTAGTAAAACTTCTGATTTACTGATCTACTTGTCTAAGGGGGTGGGGGAAAATGTTAAAATATACTCAAGTTGAGCGCTGGGCTCGTATTAAATTGTGCCAAAAAAGGCATCTGACGCAAAACAGATCAGATATTCAGATATCTGGTCTGGACTCTAAGATCGTAAATTCCATCGCATTCAACTGAGCAAAAATCAAAAGGCTTATTATAATCTATATATTATATTTAGATAATTATTAACGACCTTTACAGAAAAAGTATAAGGTAAAATATGAGTATTCAAATTTATCGACTAAGCGAAGTGTAACATTTTTGTTTAAGGTTCTCATCCAATTTCAGTTAACTGATATTATCTTCCGATCGTTTTCTTTCCTTTTTTTCCAGGAGCCGTGGAGAATTGCCTATTGAGAATTCCGATCGCTTTCGAATAACACAGACCAGCACCGCTGTACAATTAGCCGTTGAGCATGTACAGCGGGAGGATGCAGGTCATTATACATTAATAGCACGAACGAAAGATAATACTGTTATTCGCAAAGATGTCGAGCTTATTGTCGAGGACAGATCGATGGGTGAGGACCCACCAATATTTACACGACGACTGCCCGATCTATCGGTGAAGGTAGGAACACGAACACGACTATTGGTCGAAATACGTAGTTCCACAGATGTGAAGGTATGTTGCGATAGAATATATCTTTGTTGGCTTAAAACACAAGAGAAATTCTTATAGCTCACTTGGTATCGAAACGATCGTCGAATATGTGAAAATGATCGAATAAATGAGGTAAATGAGGGTAATTTCCACTATTTGGAAGTAAGCCCTGTTATATTGGAAGATGGCGGCCAGTGGATGGTACTGGCTGAGAATTCGGGTGGACGCAATTCATGCATTGCACATTTAAATGTACTCGTACCGAAGGCATACAAGTCACCTGAGTTCGTTGAAGAACTACGCGCTATACTCACTCAACAAGGCACCGTGTCGCTGGAGTGCAAGGTGGTCGGTGTGCCTACACCGCAGCTGCGTTGGTTCAAGGATTCCAAAGAGATCAAGGCTGGAGATATATTCGCGTTAACCGCAAATGCTGATGATCCCACCTCACTGGGCACGTACACCTGTGAGGCCGTCAACTGTATGGGCAAATCGTATTCCAGTTCAAAAGTGCATGTAGTAGGACGTGGCAGTAGGGAGGGGTCGCTGAAACCAGCTGACAGGTGAGCAAGAAGAGAACACTTTTGTTTTCCTCTTCGATCAAAAGCCTCAATACTTATTATTATTTAATATTATTATTTAATTTCTTTCATACACACCCACAACGGTAAAACTAAAATCTCATCTGCAAATCGATGGGAGAGCAGCATCCCCAACAATGCACCCCCACCAATATTTACGAATGAGCTACGCAACGTCAGTGTCCGTATTGGTGAACCAATAATACTCGGATGCCAAGGTAGGTGTGATTAAGCATATGCATGAGTTAGTGGTAGTGGTTTTGTATGTATACAGTGGTGCTACTCAGCGCCACGGCCGGTGTTTTGTGTTTGGGCAAATTGCCAATTACAACAGCAGAACAAGAACACAACAAGCTTTGAAAAAAAAAATATAGAGAAATCGCTCACGAGATATACATACATACATACATACACACATACAACCGTCTGCGGTCAAGCGCGAGCGGAGCAGTCACGAACAGTTGGTTTTTATCACATTGACAATTCGACCGATTGACGTGTACAACCATTTATTTCCCACGATTTGAGAGCGCAGCACATCAATATATGCACATTTTTACTTGTATTGCTCACCTAGCTGTGCATACTTACGAGTATACACTCTTTCGCAGCGTTTCACGGAAACATTGAAAATTTCAAACTTGAACTCGTTTAAATGCTTGGATATACCAATGTGTTGTGCTAGGTCAGCTACTTTTCGTGCCGATCGTGCCATTCATGCCGAAAGCGTTCACTCGTGTAGAAAAACACACATGCATATCTGTTTGTTCGTTGCAAGTGTTGGACACTTTGGTCTGCCGTGATGTAAGACCGAATAGCGCGATCAAAACAAACTGATTTTCAACGGAGATGAAAAGAAATCGAATTAAGATAATTGTAATCATATGCATACTGTGATACTTATATATTTTTGTTATGTATGTATTGTAGATTGGCTGTTAGAATCCGTTTATGCCCTAATACATTTATTCATATTTGCTACATACATACATATTTCTGTGCAGATTATACAGGTAAACGATTGTATAAAATGGTGTAAAATAATGGCGAGGTATAGAGACTAATGTAAATATATGTATGTTCAAAAATATATGGATTTGTATATTCGTTCATATGTATGGTCGAACAATGAAATATCTTTCTATAAATGGTTTACATATCCTTTGGGTCACTGGTACAAAGTACCAAAGTACAAAAGGCCTGAATTAGACGAATATCAATCATGGCTATTTTACATGTAACGTAAATTCCCAATCCAAAATGACGATAATTCACGAACTGAAAACACAAAAGTCAGGTTAGTTAACGCCCGTATACTAGACAACATCCGAATGAGTTGGGGATTTGAATTTATAAGAGGATTCAAACCTATAAGAGTTTTTCACAAAACGGTCCACTTCATTCGATGGAACTCGCTGTCTGTATACCAATTACCTACCGTAAATATGATTTGAAGATAAGAATATTCCAAATAAGCTACGGATATATGCAATATAGTGTTTTTATTTTACTTTGCCTCGACTTGGGAAGCCAAACAATGAGACAATAATTCTAATTACCATGTTATGATATAGAAGTACATAAATTAGAAGGCGGATAGACATCTATCTTCAGGCAACTTTCACTTGCTGTGGTGCTCAATGGTTTAGCAAAAGAGTCCGTATAGTCGAGGAACTTATGTCGCGCAGATGTCAGCGCTGGACAAGGGCAGGTAGTGTGTTCAATCGAGTCCTCCTCTTTCCCGTGGAGCCCCATTTAACAGTGGCCAGTTATTATGTCAATGAAGAACCGGTTTAGAAGGATAAGATATTTCTCTGTCTGGTAAATTTCACGTGATCTCATTCAGCCATCTTGAGTCTGCTTCTTGGGCAAAGGCCAGTTTAAGTAAATACTTCGCGGTGGACAAAAGTACACATGCATCGTTTACAAGTCTTACTGTGGATTGAAAGATAGCTTCTCTCTCTAGGAGTTAGAAGATTAGGGTCACAAAAAATTATAATATTAATTCTTAAAAACAAAAGAAACAAAAATCGTCAAAAACTTTAATCCTTAATAAATAGTTTCTTAAAAGAAGTGTAACTCAATAACTTTGAGTGAGTGCTTAGCGAACAGTGAATAGAGATCACTAGAACATCTTAAATTTAAAGAGATAACCTAATTAAATTAACAAAGAATACTGACATTTCTAAAGATATAGATTAAGGTTCCTGCCCCAACGCGAACTGGCCGTGCTGGCTCTTCTAGAGTTGTCTTGCTTTAAATGTGATCCGATTCCTAGTGGGAAGAAGAAGAGTCTCCCTGTTAATTTAACCAAAATGCCACCTATGTATAAAACGAATTTCAAGTAAATCAAATCGAATAGATCAGCTGCAGAACCACTTGCCGAACATTTTCTCTATACAAATCTCCCCAGGAAGCATACAAATTTTATGTCAATCGGTCGGTAACTTTTAGAGAACACAAACAAATTTTTGAATAGGTCAGTCCCGGGTACACTTTCCGTATAAATCTTTCCAGGAACCATAGAAACCATCTGACGAATTTTCAAGTTAATCGGCCGGTAGTTTTTGGATTTTTTTGGAGTCCCGCTCCGTAGGTACATAAGAGATTTTACCATTTCCCTTGTAAATCTTTCCAGGAACCATAGAAACCGACTGACAAAATTTTAAGTCATTCAGTCTATAACTATTGAAGATTTCTGGGAATTACTGGATTTTTCCAAACGGACATAAAATTTGTATATATAAGATGAGATGAGCATTGAATTATACAAAAATCTATATCAAACAGAACGTAGATCTATTAGAAACTTTTTCAGTACCTCAAATGCTTAAAACAAAGCTACAGCTGATCTCTTTTCATACGCTTCAGTATAGTTATATTCTGTTTTGGCATATCTCACATATAAGCAATCTAAAAGGGTAAGAGCTCTTGGAGGAATGTCCAAACTGTTTCGGAACACTAGACCAAATATTTATAGAAGGCTCTGGTGAACGGTTGATGGATTATTATCAAGAGTTTTTCATTTCAGGTTATAAATACACCTGGAGAACACTCGGCATTTAGTCAACTCCTCTCCCAAATTCTGTTTTACTCCAAATGAAAGGACTTACTATGCTATGCCGCCTGTATACAATCGGTAGATTTTTGTAAGCTTTGATTGATATATTCGGATGACCTGAAACTCCCTGCCGAGGGACAGTTAATTTTTTATTAATTTTTTTAAGTTTTATTGCTTGGTCATACAAGGACTCGAACCCTGAGCTTCCGAATGTTAGTACGTAAAGCTAACTATTCGGTTATTTTCGCCGCCTAAATAGTTCCCTAAAATTATAAATTTTTTCTTTAATATTTAATAAAATAAATGAATACATATTAGTATTTATTCCATCATCATTTTTTCCATTAAAAACTATTAAATCTAATAATTAGAATAATTACTTTTCTTTGGAAATAAGTAAGTACACTCCAGAAGATATTTTCATTCTTAATAGTTCAGGTCAAAAATGGCTGGTTTTATTAGTAGGGGTAGAAAAGTTATAATTGAAAAGGTTATAAGGAATTGGTTCTCGGAGCTGTCCGTAAGATAATCGGAAAATAAGTACTAGGGCATTTTACAGAAACCAACTCGTGTTTTTAATGGCGATTAAAGCAGTGTTCGTTTTGTACAAAAACTGGAAATGTTGTAGCTTCGAAAGTACACATAAACGTGTATCAGGGTCCTGAGAATGATTAAAATAACAACATTGATCGCTTTCTCCGCAAATGGTAGCATAATTCCACCACTAACAGGCTTATTCTGTCGGGGTAACAAAATTTACTTTGGTATTAAAATTTAACACTCAGTAACTTTGGTATTAAAATTTACCATTCAGTAAATTTTGTTACTATTTCGTATTCTGAATTCACTGTCACCCTGTAAATTTTGTTATCGAAATAGGAGGTAACAAAAAATCTGCTGTTTAGGTTTGTGTTGTTGGTTTGAGAAAAAATTAAAAACCAAAATGGGTAGACACATTTTAGGCCTGGAATTCATTGAAGATGAAGAAAAAATTGTAAAAAGTCGTATGTTAAGTTGCAAAAAACAAATGACCCTTTCAATTTGGAAGCGAGCGTTTTCATTCAGGTTTTTTTTGTCGTTTTGGGATATTTTCCAAAATACGGTTCAAATATTTATGATTTAATAAACAAATAAATAAAACGTATTTATTTTGAAGTGCACCGACTTCCATTTCGATATGATTATTCTTCTTTTTTTTTACTTTACCAACTGGCTAATGCAATTTGACAAGCGCGAGAAAAGCAGTGCTGGCAAAGTTTTTTCGAACATTGTAACCAATTCGCCAGAATACAAAATTCAATTTCGGGTGTTAAAAAAAGTAACAAAATTTACTTTACCGGTAACAGTGAGAATATGCCGATAAAAGACATAGTAGGTAGCATACCTAAAAATTGATTCCTCGGCCGAACTGAAAGTGGTTGTATGAAAAGTAATTTTTTTTTGGATACACTGCGAGCTGTGAACATTAGTGGCTATGAGAGCTTTTATATTTAGGGCAATAACTCTGAATAATGAGCACAAATCACATTTGAGTAGTTACATATATTAAGTGAAAAAATATTAACTTCATGAAACGCAATAAAGCATTTATTTAAGTTTTGGATAATGAGTGTCCGGTTTCTGGAAAAATTCTGCAGTTACTGGCAAACTCTGACTTGCACTAACAAATCTTTGTTTTAAAAAAATTCAGATCCAGAATAAGTCAAAAGTCTTTTATAAATTCATGGTTTTTTAATATCAGTAATAGAACGTTACATAGATGAGTTGAAAATAAAGAAGAGTTAAGTGGCCGGTTACTGGCTATTCACCCTATAAAATATTCAATTCTATCCATTTTACCAGTTCTTATTGCGGATCTCAGTTTCTGAGGACTGCACGCCAATAAGTCGATTGTCTTGTGGTATAAAATTTAATCTACTTTTGGTATTCAGGAACGTTTTATATAGCTTTAAGTGCTCATTATTCGTGAACCAAATTCCCAGTGTACCAAGATTCATAAAGATATCCCAATTATTACACTGAGGAATCGGGTGTGAGACAGACATTGTAACCAACTCGACTTATTAAATATAATATAAACATATATCTCTATTATTTTATAATTTACATTTAAAATTAAAAAGAAAATAAATAAATCAGAATTTAGCAAATATAAACACTTTTACTATAGAAGAGTTTATTAAAATCCAAACTCCAAACAATTAGTTTTAACTCAGTGTAGAATAACAAGCACGTTTATAAGACAAGGATTCGGTTGTTAATTATATTCTAGCAAACATACATAACTTTTTGGATATAAAATAAAATACACATTATATTATCTTTGAAAGTTATTATTTATTCAAAATAGGTTCCATTTGACTCAACACAACGTTTGGAACGATCAACCAGCGCATGCATAGATTTTTTTATGTCATTTATAGAAATGTTCTTCAGTACCTCGGTTACGGCTGCTTGAATGGCTGGGATATCATCATAAAATGCTCCCTTCATCTTGGTTTTCAGTTTTGGAAATAAAAAATAGTCACATGGTGATAGATCAGGCGAATACGGAGGATGGTCGATGAGAGAAATCCCTTTTTTCATTAAAAATTCGAGCGATTTTTTGGTCGTCATTTAATTCATGTGGAACAAATCGCGCACAGACCTTTCTTTTCCCCAAATCTTCAGTTAAAATTCTCCAAATAGTGTTTTTACTCGTATTCAATTCCTCAGCCAACATTCTCGTAGTAAAATTTGCATCGATACCAATGATTTCACGGACTTTTTCCACCAGTTCAGCACGATTACTAGTTTCTGGACGTCCTGCTCTAGGGTCGTCATTTAAATCCTCACGACCATTTTTAAATCGTGTAAACCACGTATAAACTTGCGTACGACTCATACAATCATCACAATAAACTTTTTTCATTAATTTTTTTTTCAAGTTTGACACAAAATTTTATATTTGCTCTTTGTTCCATTTTATTTTTGAACCATTAGCACACTTTTGGTTTTATTGAAATGGCTGTCACTTTTACATCTGTCATCCGACTTACATGATGTTAGGTGCGTTTGAAAGGTTTGAAGAGGATGAATGTATCTTTTTAATGTTGCAAATTTTCAATAGATGACGCTGTATGTTGTATGATTTAAATATAAAGTTCGGTTATTTTTAGGACACACCGTGTATATCTTATCACCACTGCCACAGCTACTCAGGCTTTGTCTATTTGCTTTTGTTTATTATTCATATTTTATGCAAAATATTTCAGTTGTGGTGCCGCCTTGGCCAAAAACAGTGGTGTGGTATAATAAGAATGGTCGGATCGAGTCTGGTGAACGGTACAAACTAATCGAAGACGGCTTGGGTGTGTATATGATCGAAATCAAACCCTCAGAGAGTTGTGATGAAGGGGAATGGAAGTGCGTAGTTACAAGCTATGAAGGTTGCGTGGGTATTTCGACTTGTACCGTTGCTATGGACAGTAAGTGCACCAAAAAAAAATTTTTCTGCATTATTTTCAATATCAATCATATTCTATTCTTATAGTTCCGAAAAATTATCGAAAGCCACGTTTTATGGAAAGTCTACGTGCCGTGCTCACCGAAGAAGGACTGGTTTCGTTTGAATGCAAAGTCGTTGGTTTCCCCACGCCCATCCTCAAATGGTTTAAAGATGGTCAGGAATTGAAACCCGGTGATGTTTATCAATTGACTGGCACCAATTCGCTCGGTACTTATTGTTGCATAGCTAAGAATTGTATGGGTGAGAGTAGCAGTGTAGCTGTGCTCACCGTTGAAGATATACAGAATCAATTAAATGATGAAGAACGACTCACGTTTGCCAAGCAAAACCAGCCACCGAAATTCGTTGTCGGCCTTAAGAGTCAAGAAGCTAAAATCAATGAAAGTTTCCAGTTTACTGTAAACGTTAAGGCAACACCAGATCCAGTACTCTCCTGGTTCCGTGATGAATTGCCTATCGAAAATAGTGAACGTTATAGTCATTATCGTGGCGAGCAGGAAAACTGGCATTTAGATGTACGTTGTGTAGAGTTCGTGGATCAAGCAGAGTGGAAATGTGTGGCTGTAAACGACTTCGGCACGAGTGTTACATCCAGTTATTTAAAATTGCAGATACCACGACATTACAAGAAACCACGTTTCCTGGAATGTCTAAGAGCTGTGCTCACCGAGGAGGGTGCTGTGAATTTAGAGTGTAAAGTCATTGGAGTGCCGCAGCCAATGTTGAAATGGTACAAAGATGGTGTCGAGCTTAAGCCAGGTGATATTCATAGAATAATTTCCGGACAGGATGGTACCTGCTGTCTTGGCACTTATACTTGTGAGGCGAGAAATTGTATGGGCATTGTGGCGAGCTCTGCTTCATTACTGGGTTTCGAAGAGGCTTATAAAAACCAAAAGGAGGAGCAGCAAGCTCATGAAAATGAATTGCAACGCAATCTCTCTTTATCCACCATACAAGAAGAGCGCACCTCTCAACTTTACGAAACACCTGTTGGAGATATTACCATCGATTCGAAGGGTGAAGTGTCCTTTTCATTTGATGGCAAAGAGGTTTCTGTGTCTCTGTATGAGACGCCTGATTTAACAGAAGAAGAAGCGTTAAAGATAGTTGAAATGTATGCCGATCAAATTTCAGAGCACGTAACCGAACACAACGTGGTGGAACTGCCGCCACTGCGTTTCGTTAAGGAGACCTCGCAATCGGGTAAACTTTTGATGGAAGCTGTTGTCATTGATATATCGCCAGAGTACTTCTCTCACGAAGAGGATATGCGCACCGAAGCTGGTATGGATGATATTTCTATCAACGAGATAACTGTACATGGATCTACAGAAGGTGAAGGCGAAAACGATCGTGAAGCTGCAAACTATGCACAACGCAGTTTCGAAAAAATGGAAGAAGAATTATCATTAACCGCACCTATAAGAAAGCGCAAAAAATCACGACACACCGAAACTACAGAAGAATTTTATAGTTTGTCTAAAGCTTCCGATAGTCAAGCTGGCGATGAAGACGACACATCCGATTTGCAAACCTTTGCCAGCGCCACACAAATGTCATCACGTGTGGATTCTGCAGTCGGCCCTGATGCTGTACAGCCCGAGGAGAGTATACAGCCCCCAAAGCGAAAGAAGGGAAAGAAGCAAACCGATAGTGATTCATCAAAAACCAATGAAGATGATGCCAAAATACAAGACATATCTGGTGCTGTTGGAGATGGTTTGATGTCAGTGCAACCTGTGAAAGTAGTTACAAGCACAGAAGAGATTGAAAAAAATTTGAGATCTCTTTTGCCGTTGGCCAAACTACTGAAAACGATTGAGCATCACTTGACCGTCGTAGAGAATGAAGTGGTCGAGCAGTCGGCAATGATGATGACTCCCGCCGCCGCTGAGCAAAGTATAGCTATCATACGCAACGTTATCGACCCGGTTAAGCAGGTGGAGAGCAAGTTGCGCGCCTACTCCGGCGAAACGCCACTTGATGCGCTCTTCCAAACAATGGAGGAGGATATACGTAAACTTCACACCAGTCTTCAAGTTATTGAGAAGTGCGTCGAGATAGATGAGACTGGAGTGACACTTATACAGAGGACAAGCGTCTGCATTATAGATAGTGTGGGTGCCCAGCTTGTCAAGGCTTTGGAAGAGGTCCAAAGCATAGCAAAGACTTTCGATTCATCCAGTCTTCGTGCCCATATCGATCTAACTGCAGATGATATTAAACAGGGACTTGAAATAACACAGGGCACCATTAAGTCACAAGCACTGTTGCAGGAAGCACAAGAATTAGAAGCAGCTAAACACCTCTCGGAGACAGTTGCCAAGTTACAGGCCATGCCCGAATCGGAGCCGGTATCTTTTGCAAATATTTCCGATGTAAAATTGCCCGATGAAGCTGATGCATTAAAACTCATTTGTGAGCCGGTTGTGAATTTACAAGCCGCGTTGGAAAAAGTAGAAAATGAGTTAAGTCTGGAAGAAAATGAAGAACAAATTTACAAAAAAGTACACAAAAAAGTGCTCGACAATATTGTAGAACCAATTAAAGACCTGCAGTCGGTACTACAGACAATCGAACGTAAAGCGGAGGGTCTAGCTGGCACAGAGTCTACGGAACAAAAGGTCAATATGGCCATATTGGATATAGTTACTCCAGCACTATTCGAACTCAACAAGGGTTTGGAGATCATACTGAACGAGACGTCTGATAACGTGCAGGCTGGCATGCTAACGGTTAGTGCGGTGGAATCGATGGTACCACCTTTACAAGAAATACAAAACGGACTTGCGCAGCTCAGTCAGGATGTGGAAAGTGGACACTTTAACGAAGAAGCAGCACTCGACTCGGCAGATACACAGAAGCTGCTTCAAACAATAGCTCAGTCGGTGTTACACTTTGAGACGAACATCGAGCGGATTACAACTCGATTATCGCCCAATGTACAGTCAGGATTGTATAATTTGAAGGAAGAAATGTCTGCCTTAATTGGAAATGTGTTGGACGATAATATTACGAAATATCACGTGACTCTTTTGGAAAACCTTAAGCGACCCATCGATGAGCTCAACTACTGCATACGTCAGATCGAAAGTAAATCACTTTCCGGCTCATTAACTGACTTTATTGATCCTCTGCATAGCCTAAGTGATCGCGTAAATTTGGGTAGGGAAATCATGCATATGTCTGGTACGAAGCAAAACGAGAAGCATCTAGAAGTTTTAGAAAAGATGCAACAGTTGATTCGAAGTGTAGAAATTGATATTGAAGAACATGAATTCAAAATGCTGCGACACGAAGTGGAGCAAGACGAGAAACAAGCTGCAGAACAAGAAAAGTCTTTCCTCTACATGCGTGAAGCCATGGAAATGAAAATAGCGCAAGACGAAGCTGGACAAAACATACAAGAACTTCTACACACCGTAACGGAGATTGAAGCTTCCCCCGAATTGGACGTGCAAACACAACAGGCGCTATCGAAATTAGATGAAAGTCTGACAGGATTAGTCGCCGAAGTGGAAATTTTGAAGGAATCACACAGCACGAGAGAAGAAACCGAAGCTGCAACGAAAGTTTTGGCTGACATTGCTAAGCCGCTGCAAGCAGTCGCCGAAGTTTTACGCAGCACGCTAACTCCAGCAAAAATACAAAAGATTGAAACACTTCAACCAAAGTTAAGTCTAAGGGCTGTCGTGCAAGAAATAAACGACGTTGTGGAAAGTATACCGGAGCAAGATGAGCATCACATTAAACTGAGAGCACTGCCCATAGTAGAGTCTGTGTTAAAAATTGTGCCCGCCTTGCACTCAATCACCGATTTGCCACAAGCCTTGACTGCTTCCACACAGGCCGTTATAGCTGAGAAAAAGAAAGCTGAAATGGATGTTGATAGCAGTGCTGCAAAGAAACCTAAAATAGAACTTGAAGCGGATACTGAAAAAGATACAATGCACGTGACACGCACCGAAACGACTTCCCTAAGAGAAGCACAGCTCGAGGTAGCTCAACCAGCTGTGGACGTAGTGGCGACAAACAAGCCGAAAGAAAAAATCGAAGATGAACGCTCAACTTTAGAAGACATATCCGCTTTGAAATCCGTAGAATCCCTTCCGCCAGATATCGAGCTGTCTGCTGCAAGCGACAAGGCTGATCACCTCAAGGCGTTCGAAGCAAACAAAGGGAAAATGAATGTTCTGTTGTCCCAACTTAAAAGTAGTATAGCATCCGTATTGGCACATTGCGCTGAAATGGATGTCGCTTCATTGCAGCTGGAGACCGCACAGCAAGTGAAGGCGAGTGTGACGAAGCTTGAAGATGTTAATGAATGCTTAGCAGATGTACGTCAGCCAGTCGTTGTGGAGCAATTACAGTCCATCTCTGACTTAAGCGAATGTAAAACGTTTGCGGACGCTGTGTGTCACCTGGAAGCATGCATGGTGCAAGTTGAGGAGTGTCTGGCGCAAAGTGACTTGCAAGATCTCAGTGGAGATTCCTACTCCGACTTAAAAACAATGGCATTACCACTACAAGATCTCAAAGAATGCCTTAAAGTTCTCCACAACGAAGAATTGGAGCAAGTAGTCAGCTTGCCCTCAACGAGTTTACCACTTACTAGTGCGCAGGTTTTACAAGACCTACACCCGTTTGTACTCTCGATAAAAGAGAGTAATGCACTTGAGATGCTACAATCCTTGACGGAGAACGAGTCGTTTGAACAGTTGAAGCAGTTTATACAACCCATTCAAGAACTGGAGAGTGCCGTGCTCTCAACTGTTGAACAAGTGCATTTGTCTCAAATCGAAAGCTTGCCAACACACAGGAGTCTTGCTCTACTGGAAAAATGTGCTAAGCCGATTTTCGATATAAGAGAGGCTTTGATATACATGAAAGAAGAAACTCCATTCTCTACTTTCGAAGAATGTCCACCATTGAAGTTGGTAAAAGAGAGAAGTGATGTGCTGTATAATCTCCTACAGTATTGCGAACATGTGAATCTGAATATACTGGAAAATGTTGGTGATATGTCTACGCAGGCAGATGTATCTGCTTTGAAGTCTTGTGCAGAGCTGAAATCTGTAGAGACACAATTAGAGCCAGCTGTAAATGTGCAAGAAGAAAGTGTGCAGTTTTTGGGTGTGGACGAAAGCCTTGCCCACGGCATTAAACAGATACAAGATTGCTTAAACTCGACTGAGAGGAATAAAGAGCCTGAAATACTAGATGTCCGAGTAGTTATGAAGGACCTGAAAACGGAATTAGAACATATGCAAAGCGAGCTGTCGAAACCGCGCACACAGCAAAATGCTGCTGAAGCAAATCAACGAGTGGCGAAAGCAATGTTCAAACTGAAAGAGTGTATGGTGCACACTTATGAAGCTGGTGTTGAGAAATCCTTAGATGACATTGAAAGAACTTTTGAAGACATACTACAAGCACTGCCCGCATTAGAAATACAGCTGGCTCAAGAGATGCATACAAAAATTCAGACCTCTCTGCGTGCCATCAGCACAAAATGCTCACAGTCCGATGAGGTAGCTGGTCTGGAAAATTTGTTAGAGCCCATTGAGAACATTTTGAACAGCACTCGCACAATAAGTGAGCTAAAGAGTATTGATGTTGAGAAATCTTCATTTGTGGTGGCAAATCTTCAGTCGCATTTAATGGCCACATTCAGAGCGCTCAATGAAGTAAGCGAGTCGCTAAGTGAGCATGAACGTGAAGCTGTGCTGAAAGCTCAAGACACCGTACTTGCCACTAACGAATTTATTGCTGAATCCCATGATCAAATTCGAATAATTGAGCTGCTGCAAGAGATCGATAGTTTGACGCCTCATCTTGCTGCTATTTATGATGGTGTTGTTTTGGCAAAAGTAGAGCTTAAGAAGCGTGAGCTATTCGATATATTAACTCAACGTGTTTCCGAAGGAAAAGCATTTTTGCAGAGAATTGAGGATGGTTTAAATGCGAACAATCCCATATTTTATAAATTAGCAGAGGAAAATGAGTTGGACATACAAAGTGTAGAATCGGCGCTTATGCGTATCGAGAGTGAAATCATACCAAAACTGGAAACGCAAACACCAACGACGGATGACATTGCGCTAGGTGATGTGCTCGCCGTACATTTGAAAGCCCTACAAGATAGCCTAGCCAAAATCAACTCAACTGCTGCTAAAATCGGTGAAGAGCAAGAAAAGACTATTGAGCCACTGCCAGCGCAGGGTTCAACGCAAGTTTCCGTACCTGCTACAGCTATAGAGACACTTGCAGAACAAGTCGCCACGCCAGTTGTTGAGGCAAAACAACGTGAAGCTTCATTGCACGTCGAAGAAGATGCTTCCACGCTGGAGGATATTTCAGTTATCGAGTCATTAATTGAGTCACCACTTCGTTCTCAAGCCGAACAAGTTTCATCTCCATCAACTGACAGAGGTAAGGTCGATGTGGTGTTGTCACAACTCAAAAGTGGTATTGTCTCAGTGTTGGCACATGGCAGCAATGCAGTAAATTCAGCCGCAATGCAGTTGGAATCGGCGCAACAGTTAAAGGCAAGTTTGTTGAAATTGGAAGACGTGAATCAATGTTTTGCTGATGTTCGTCAACCCACTGTCATTGAGCCACCACTCCTATCCCTCTCCGAAGCAAGTGATTGCAAAACTTTTGCTCATGCTGTGTGTAATTTAGAAGCATGCGTTGTGCAAGTCGAAGAATGTATTGCCCAAAGTGATGTAGAAAACTTGAGTGAGAACGAAATTTCCGAATTGAAAACCTTAGCACAACCCCTGCACGATATTCGGGAGTGCCTTAGAGTTTTTCATAATGAGGAGTTGGAGCAAGTTATGAGTTTGTCTTCAATAAGCATGCAATTAACTAGCGCTCAAGTTTTACAGGATATACAGCCATTTGTATTATCGATCAAGGAGAGTCACGCACTGGAGACCTTGCAGTCACTGGCCGAGGATGAGACACTCACACAACTCAAGCAGTTCATACAACCAATACAAGAGCTAGAGAGCGCGATTCTTACGAACGTTGAGCAAGTGCATTTGTCTCACGTGGAAAGCATTTCCGAGCAGGAGAGTGTGGCTTTGCTGGAGCGATTGGCAAAACCCATTTGGAATATTAGAGAAGCTTTGCTACACGTACAAGAAGAAACACCTCTTTCAACGCTAGAAGAATGCCCGGCACTTAAGGTGTTGCAAGAAAAAGTCGATGTTGTGTATCATCTACTGCAATATTGTGAGCAAGTTGATATGAATGCCTTTGAACAAATTATCGATATGTCCACACAGGCGGATGTTTCTGCAATGAAATCCTGTGTGGAAATGAAGTCTGTAGATCCGACACTGGAAGCTCCAGCGGTACCAGTACTTCAAAGTTTGCAATACTTGGAGGTTAGAGAACCTATTGCTAATGCTATTAACCAAATACAGACCTGCATAATTGATACGGAAGCTGGTCAAGTAACTGAAATACTAGAGGTTTCCGAAATAATGCTAGAACTGCAAGAAGCGCTACAAAATTTACAAACTGAGCTATCGAAACCAATTGAAACACAAAATACTGCAGAAAGTCAATCAAGGGTAGCAAAGGTTATGTTTAAACTGAAAGAATGTCTTGTTCATACATACGATGCTGGCGTGGAGCAGTCTCTGGACGATATTGAGAAAACCTTTGCCGATATTCTACAAGCATTGCCCACATTAGAAACTCAACTCTCACTAGAAATGTATGCCAAAATGGAGTCTGCTGCTACTGAATTTATTTCTACTTGCGCTCAGTCACCAAATTCGGATGACTTGAGTAAGGTAATCGGACCTCTAGAGCTCGTTTTGAATAGCACCAAAACAATTGCTGAGCTTCAACTAGTCGAAGTAGAGAAGTCCACATTGGCCGTTGCAAATCTGCAGTCGAATTTAATGGCAGTTTTCCGAGGACTGGATGAGATCAGCGAAGCAATGGCAGAAACCGAACGTGAAAATATTCAGAAAGTACAAAATTCTGTGCTCTCCATTTCGGATTTTATCGATACCAGTAACAACACACTGCGTGTTATTGAACTCATTCAAGAACTCGATTCTCTTATACCACAGCTAAACTTTGTGGCAAACGAATTCAATGCCGTTAAGCGAATTAAAGGAACAGAGTCGTTTTTGGACGCACTCACGATGAGCTTATCCTCTGGGAAAGCATTTCTACTTAGCATTGAGGAAGGTTTGAAAATGAACAATCCTATTTTCGTTAGACTAGTCTCGGAAAATGCTGCTGACATTCAAAGTGTGCGTGCCGCATTAGTCTGCATGGAAAAGGATATTCTTCCTAAAATTGGCACGGAATGTTCATCAGCCCAGGATGGTGTTTTGGTCGATTCACTTCAAGTGCACCTAAAGAGTTTGCAGGACAAACTGGTTACACTGAGCGCTAGTGATAACAAGCAATCAAGCATGAAACAGCAAGAGGAAGCCAAAACAAAAGTGGAACAAACGGAAAAAGACGAAAAGGTTTCTACGGCTGCTGAAGAGAAACGTAATAATAGCGAAGTGGAAATTACAGAAAAAGTTAAAGAAGAAAATAAGACGGAAGGAAAAATTACAAAAGAAAAGAAAAGTGAGAAAGAAGACGCGGTGCAAACTAAAGAAGAAAAATCGGTATCAGAAGAACAATTATCCAAAAAAGCAGATATATCTTCCCAAAAGAGCTCAAAAACAATTGAATCCGAAATTATTTCAACTTCAAGCACAGACCAGGAACAGGAACAGGTAAAACAAGAACTCCAATCATCACAGCCAAGTACAGAAGAAACCGTCGCTATAGAAAAGTCACAATCACATGCACCAAAACCAAAGGAAACCAAAGCGGGGTTGGAAGATGCGGCTAAACAGGCAGAAGACGAAGAAGCAGCTTTACCTACCGAACCATACCTTCAAAGGGCTGAGGTTTTAATAAACAAGACCATTGAGCTTATACAGGCTCTGAACAAACAACAATTGAGTACAGCCACCTTAGAAATATTCAAATCCGTAGAAATTACCTTGAATGAGATAAGAAATTTATTGCAAAATCATCCATCTAATACGATTGAAGATCACATTTTCCTACCACTCTTCAAATTAAAAGATTTGCTTGCGTTTATCAAGCGAACTCCAGTGGAAGACCCATCGTATAGCTCTGAGACCCAACAAGTTCTCCAGAATGCCAATAACGTATTGTTGGAAATCCTTAATGGTCATGCTGGTCTCAGAAGTGCAATGATCTATGACATCGGTGAGGCTATACTACCATACATGGGAAGTATTGTATCTTTCATTGAACAAGTATTTCCCAACGATAAATCTTTCTGCACAGCAGCTCGGTCACTTCAATTAATTGCCACTGAAATCGGCGTTATAAAAAAGGAAAATGCACCAAATATGGATGTGGGCTCACGTGCTTATCAAAATTTGAAATCCGCCTTATACCAGCTACAAAACTCTTTCGACTCAATGTGCAACGAGCGACCGAGCGAATCCCTTCACCAACACAAATCAAGTTTAGACCGCCTTAATAAAGCGTTAGATGATGGCAAAATTTTAGATGCCATAGAGATACTGCAAGAATTTGAGGTTATGAAAGACTTATTTGTGCAGTTTTTGGAAGAACTCAAGTGTATAGCGCAACAACCAGTCGTTATTAAAGACAATGCTTTCACGCAGGAAGTAAAACAGGTATTAGCAGCGGTAACGGCAGATCAAAACATGCAAACGCTTGCCGCTGAAGTTGAGGAAGTTTTACAAAATAACCAAGACGACGAACGATTCTCGAAAGTGATTTTCAAGATGCGAGAGCACATCGTACATACTTATGAAGGTGGTGCGCCAAATGCGGATGAAACGAACAGGAAATTGGAGGAAATCATAGACGGCTTACTTTCCAGTAATCCAGATGCTGCTAAAAGACTTACGGAAGAATATTATGTTAACATAAAGAATAATATAAAACAAATTTGCGAAAATCTGAAAACAATTGAGAACTTAAGGTTACGCAAGAAAGCAAACTCATTGAATCCGAGCTTGAAAGGAGTAGCCTCCACTGTTACAGACTTAAAGCAATTGAAATCTGGCAGTAAATTTGAAGAGAAAACTGAAAAGCTTATAGCGGATTTAACCAATATAATTGCAGTTTTGGACGATTTGCAAAAAACTGTAGTTGATGCTGTGGGTTCTAGTATTGAAAAATCAATAAGAATTGCATCGAATGAAATAAATTACATAAATAACAATGAGAAATCAGCACAAGTGCCTAAAATTCTTTTGGACACATATTTTCTAACTAACAGTCTACTTGAGCTGCTCAGCAAACTACAAAAAGCTAAGTATATGCCACCGAAAGAAAATGACCAGTCGAAAGCAGATGTGGAATTCGCGCCGAAAGAGTTGGCTGCAGAGAAGCTGCAGTTGCGGGAAGAAACTGCAACTGAATCCGAAATCGTAGAGTCCGAAATGTCTGCACAGCCTACTGAATCTAAGAAATTCACAGAACGAACAGCAGCTGTGGCTACTGCTGAAAGTGATATTCTTCAAAAAGAGGCAACGTCTGAAGTGCCTTCATCAGAGCCAATTGTTGAATGTAAAACTGAACTGATAACAGTCGACAAACAGGCTACTGAAAGTCAAAATGGAACTTCAGCGCCAATAAACGATTCTTCTAAGCGCATTGAAACTGTTGAAGATGCGAAGGTCGAACAAGTTATAGTTGAAGAAACAACACAAGAAATCAAACCGGACGATTTGATTATACGCCAAGTCGAGAGTGACGAGCAACTTGAAAAGTCTGTAGTACCTGAAGGGCATATCCCAAAACACGTGGAGGAGGTTGAGAGAGCAATCGAGGAAATAATTAACCCCAATTTATTCAACTACTTTACAAGCATTGCTACGATAGCAACCCACACTCGACAACAGCTTATGGAAACGAAATATCCTCGCCTTCGTCAGCGATTAACTCCTATCAATAATCAGCTAGAAACAATGGTAATAGTCTGCGAAACACTGAAGTCGGTCAATAAGATTGAAAAGTCTTCAGAGAAAGTCGTTAAACTGCAGAAAGTACTCATGGATTTATTTGTTACATTTGATGATCTTCAACAACAAGTTGACGGAGAGTTAAAAAATAAGCTAGAAAATGTTAAAAATGTGTTGCTGAAAGACTATGAAATTATCGAAAACAGTCCGATTACATTGGACTCGGAGGATATTTTGATTAAAATATTTAATTTAGCAAAATTAATTTTCGATATATGTCAAGATTTCGAAAAAGTAGAAGCTAAAATAGAGACTTCAGAAATTAAAGAAGAAACAGAAGAAAAAGTAGATGATAAGCAGTCCACACAATTGGCAAAGGAACTCGAAACTGAAAAGGAGGCACCGAAAACCGCCGAACAAATTGTTCAACAGCAAGTGGAAGAAAATAAAGAAGTATGTGAAGAACCATCTTTAGAAAGTAAAACATCAACTGTAAAAGATAAAACACCTGAAGAACTTCCGGCGCTAAATTCTCAAGAAGCGTACGCGAACAGTCAAAAAGAACCAGAACTTTTAACTGAAGAACAGTGTTTGCAGGCTACAGTAAGGATAGAAGAAAATGTACTTGCGGAACCTATAGTTGAGTTAATTGCAGAAGGGAGTGTGGAAACGCAAAGTAGAACGCAGATGGAACAAAATACTGAAGCAGAATATTTGCAGAAGTTTGAAAAGCGTGAAGAGGAATCTGCCCTAGAGTCAAAAGCTTTACCTGAAGTTTCTGAAAAAGAAGAAAAGGAGAAACAAAAAGAAACGCAGGTTGCAAACATTGCTGTGCAAGACGAGACAGTGTTAATTGAGGAAGACGAAGGCACTAAAATCGAAAATGCTGAACCGAAAGCCGAAATGAAAAATATCGAAGACAAAGCGAAAGATAGTGAAGTCACTCCAACTGTAGAAGATCTCAAACAAGAGAAAAAAGAAGTGCGGGAAATGGCTGCAAACAAACCAGCGAAAGAGGAAATTGAAGAGCGGACATCAGAAGCGAAAAGTGAAGTGATCAGTAATGTTGATAAAAAGGAGAGCGCGGAGGTGTTGACAGTCACTGATGTTCGAGTCTTAGAAGAAACGCAGAAACTCGACGATAATGTCGAAAAATCTAAAAAAGATGATTCCTCAACAGAGAAACATACAGAAAAGACAGTCGAGTCGCTGGAAGATAACGTTGACAACAAAGTTTTGCCAGAGAAAAAACTTACAGAAGATGTAGAGATTCTAACTTTAGATAAAAAGGAACTAGATGCGCAGAAAGGAGAAATAGAACCTAAATCCAAAACGAGTACTGAAACGCCGAAACTAGAAGATAAGGATGAAATGGGTGAGAGTGTAATTGTTACTGATACTTCAACAGTGCTAACCGACAAGCCTCCCGAAGAAATATCTAAAAACAAAATCGAAGTTATCGAGGTAACAGAAGAAGGCGTTATATCACCAGAGAAAAACCAAGAAGAGGCCCTTTCGCCTGATAAAAAAGAAACAGTTTTGGAGAAAGTTTCCTCTACAGAAGTTGCTCAATCCGTTGGACCAGATTTTGAAGGAGAGAAAACTTCAGACGGCGAGAGAGTAGATCAAAAAGAGAAACAAGATACAAGTGCTCCTGAACAAACTGAAATCAAAGAAGTTGCGTTATCAGAATGTAGAAATTTAGAGGAATATTTCCAAAATATCGTTAGTTCCGTTGAAGGTGTTGCACCGAAAATTGCAAACTTACAAGAATCGCAACACCAAATCGGTGCAATTCAAACTGAACTAAACGTTTTTATTCAGGTTGCTGAAGACTTAAAAAATGTACAAGCTATTGAAAAATCTGCAGAAAGATTGAAAATATTGCAAAAGTCTTTAATGGATGCCTATGCTCTATTTGACGATCTATCCAAATTTGCGTCTAAGGATTCAAGACCGCAGCTGGTCGCAGTGAGACAATTCGCTCTGGAGTTGTACGAGAAAATTGAATATGCTCCAAAGGAGGTCGAAACAGAAATAGTTTTGAATAATTTGAGTACCTTAACTAAAGGAATCTTGGAGTTTTTCAAGACTTTGGAGAATGAGTTATTAAACACAGGAATTTATACAGCAGATCAGAAGGTTAAAGTCGAGTTAAAACCAGAAGATACAGTAAGCGAAGAACGTACTTCTGCTGAAACGGAAAGAACCGTCGATGATGAGCTACGCGTGCACGAAATGGTAGATGAGAAGAATGAAGAAACAATAACAGAACCGAAACTCGTTAAGGAAAAGCCTGAAGAGAAATCGGAAGTAAAGTCAACGGAAGTGAAAACTGAAGATAAAGAACTCTCGAAGCAAGCAAGAAATGAAATATCCAAAGCAGAGGGAGAAGGGAAACGTAATAAAACTGAGAAAGACTTGCAAGAATATTCTTTAGAAGACAACGAAACCAACAAAAAAGACCAAAAACCAGTTCACACGGAACCTGAGTTGAGTACAACAGAAGTGACTGATGTAACTATTAAAGAACATGAAGAAAACAAGCCTATAGAGAAGAGAGAGGAAGAAACTATACCCGACCAGACATTGCAAGAGGTGGAACCAAAGGAAAAGCCATTCATCAAAGAGCCAGTAGACCAACCTATTTCGCAAGAAGAAAATCTGGGAGTGAAATATGATGCTGCATTAGCAGAAGAAAAAGTGGCAGATGAGGTAGTAAAAGTTCTGGAGAAACCTTCTAAGCCCATCGAAGATAAAAAAGAAGACAAGAAAATAGACCATGAAGAAGATAAGACGCAAGAACGAAGCAGAACAGCAGAGGTGAAAGATGAAAAACATACTACATCTGCGCTGGAAGCAAAAGAAGATATTAAATCGAAAGAAATTGAGGATCAAGAAAATGTAAACAATAAAATAGTTAAGAAAGCAATTAGTGTAGCAGATGAGAAAAAGGAAAATCCAAGGCTAGAAGAACTGCATCAAATGATTGTCAAAAATATTGAAAGCATAGAGCTTCAAATAGTGTCCATTAATAGTGCATTCCTCAGAGAGAAGCTAATTTCATTCCAACCCCAATTGAAAAGCTGCGTGTCAGTTTCAGAGAAACTTAAAAATCTTGAAATCGCGGATAAATCTTCAAAGGAAATGGTAACTCTTCAAAAAGCTTTAATGGAAACGTTTGTTGTATTTGATGACTTAAATGAATTGCAAATGAAGATGTCAAAACCAAAAATAGAAAAAGTGAAGTCAAATGCTTTAGCTGAGTATGATTTTATAGAGAATAGCAGTAACTCCATAAATACTGAGCATATTTTGCAAAAAACGTCAGATTTGATACAAGATGTTCTTGAAACTTGTATGGAGCTTGCAAAAGAAACTACGAAAAAGGATGCTGAAAAAGATGAATCTCTGAATGAAAAGATCCAGCTTGAAATAGAAAATAAAGCAGAAGTTAAAAAAGTTGTGGATTCCCCAAAAGTTGCAACCGAAGAGTCACTGAACCCAGAGCTGATGCAGTACTATAATGAAATAGTTGAATATGCTATGAGAATCTCAAACGTCCTAAGCAATCTGGAAGACTGTGATTTCCATCCAAAAATAATCCAACTAAACCAAATAATTGCAAGCATAGTTTCATGTTCCAGTTTCATAAAGGACGCGAACAATGTCCAAAAATCGAAAGAAAAGGTTGTAAACCTTCAGGGGAATCTTATGAATATTTTTGTTCTTTATGACGATCTACTGACCATAACCGATAAGTCTCTTCACACAGATCTTGAAAAAATTAAAAGCTTAACGCTCAGTACGTATGACCTAATAGATAGAAGTGTAGAGATTGTACAATCCCATGAGATTTTGGACAAGACGGCTGGACTCTGTTTAGAAATACATAAAGTATGTGAAAGCATCGCTAAATATGTTAAAGAATCGAAGGCAACCAGAAAACTAGAAGAAAAAGTTGTAAATGTGAAAAAAGCGAAAACTGAAAATCTACAAACCGATGAACCTGATGATATAATAAAGCAGAAAGCGACTGTCAGAAGCGAAGACAATGAGAAAAGGCAAGACGAAGATGTTAAGGTGAAAGATAAAGAACCACAGCTTGAAAAAACCATTGAAATCCAAGAAGCGGAGGGTAAGCATGGAAAAGAAAAGAGAAAGAAGAGCACAGAAGAAGAGAAAAAACCTGATGAGAAAAAACCTGCTGAGAAGCCATCTGAAGAGTTTGTGCAGAAGGCAGAGCTGGTTGAGAAACCTGTTGAGAAGCCATCTGAGGAGCCTGTGCAGAAGGCAGAGCCGGTTGAAAAACCTGTTGAGAAGCCCTCTGAGGAGCCAGTGCAGAAGGTAGAGCCGGTTGAAAAACCTGTTGAGAAGCCCTCTGGTGAAATTAAGACTGATGATAAGCCAGTAAAAGAAAAGAGAAAGAAGAGTGCCGATGAGCAGAAGGGACAGGACGACAGATCTAAGTTGGAAGATAATCAGTCGAAGCTCGCAGAAAAAGCTATTGAAAAGCCGTCCGAGGAAATCAAGAAAGCAGAGGATAAACCTAAAAAGGAAAAGAGAAAGAAGAGTACAGAGGAAGAGAAAAAACCTGCTGAGAAACCATCAGAGGAGCCTGTGCAGAAGGCAGAGCAGGTTGAAAAACCTGTTGAGAAGCCATCTGAGGAGCTTGTGCAGAAGGCAGAGACGGTGGAAAAACCTATTGAAAAGCCCTCTGGTGAAATTAAGACTGATGATAGGCCAGTAAAAGAAAAAAGAAAGAAAAGCACAGAGGAAGAGAAAATACCTGATGAGAAAAAAACTGCTGGGGAGCCATCTGAGGAGTCTCTGAAGCCGTCTGGAGAAATCGATCAAGCAGGAGATAAACCTAAAAAGGAAATGAGAAAAAAGAGCATTGAAGAAGAGAAGAAACCTAATGAGAAAGCATCAGAAGAACTTGTGATGGAGGCAAAGCCTGTTGAAAAACCTGTTGAGCAGTCCTCTGATAAAATGAAGACAGATGATAAGCCAGTAAAAGAAAAGAGAAAGAAAAGTGCTGTTGAACAGCCGAAGCCAAAAGATGAACAACCGGAGCTCATTGAAAAAACTATTGAAAAGCCGTCCGAGGAAATCAAGAAAGCAGAGGATAAACCTAAAAAGGAAAAGAGAAGGAAGAGCACAGAGGGTGAGAAAAAACCTGCTGATAAGCCGTCTGAGGGGCCAGTGCAGAAGGAAGAGCCAATTGAAAAACCTGTTGAGAAGCCATCTGAGGAGCCTGTGCAGAAGGCAGAGCCGGTTGAAAAACCTGTTGAGAAGCCCTCTGAGGAGCCTGTGCAGAAGGCAGAGCCGGTTGAAAAACCTGTTGAGAAGTCATCTGAAGAAATTAAGAGGGATGATAAACCAACAAAAGAAAAGAGTAAGAAGAGTACTGATGAACAGAAGAAACCGGTCGACGGATCTAAGTTGGAAGATAAGCAATCGAAGCTCGCTGATAGAACTATTGAAAAACCGTCCGAGGAGATCAAGCAAGCCGAGGATAAACCTAAAAGGGAAAAGACAAAGAAGAGTGCAGATGAAGAGAATAAATACGCTGAGAAGAAACCCATTGAAAAGCCTTCTGAAGAACTTGTAGAGAAACCAAAGGGAAAGACTGACGTTGCTAAAGAAATTGTGAAACAAAAATCAGTAGATGGAGTTTCCGATGTTACAGATGGGGCAATTATTCAAGCTGACCAAGTTCCTAGTATAGAAAAAAATGGTATTGGCATTGATAGTTCTGACAAACCGCAACCTAGGATGAAATCAGACTTGCCACACACTTACAAGTCTAACGATGTCGATTATAAGGATAAACGAGAATCGCGCACCGCTAGACGTCCACCTAGCATCGACTTGAAACTGACCAACAGAAATTCTCCCGTGGGAAGTGATATAAAGTTGACGTGTAGTGTATCCGGTGTGGAACTAAAGATCAACTGGTATAGAGATAAAACCTTAATAGAGAACGATAATAAATATCGTAAAACCTTCAACGATGGACTCTCTTGTTTGGAAATTAAAGCTGTGGATGCAAATGATGCGGGTGTTTACAGATGTATGGCGTCCAATCGCAATGGAGAAGTGGAGACGAGCTGCCTTGTGACAGTTTACGATGTACCAACAACTAAATTTGGCACAACGCCAATATTTACGCGTAACATAAGAGGTATGCAAATTGTTTTTCATTTCTTAAATTCCTCTAAGATTTTTACTTAGGTGAATTTTTATTTTCCTTTATTTACTTTGATTCTCTAAAATTAAATTTAAATATATAATTTGTCTGAGAGCTTTGCCTTCTACTGTTCCTTAAACTATTGCACATAAGTATTTACTAATTTTCTTAATCTCATTTTATTTCTTTAAGTAAACAATTGCCATTCGCTTAATTGCGAGTTAATGAAATGGTAATTTGTAGTTATTTTCGAATTCATTTTGGCCGAATTGCACGGTGCGTGCCTTAATGCTTTATTATGTACATATATACATTCCCAGGAGAGTACGTTATACTATTTCTGGTATATTATTTGTTACTTTAGGTTAGGATTTTTTTACTAACTTAACTTGCTTTTGAAAGAATTTTGCATGATCTTGCATATGAACCTTTTGCCTGTCTATAGCTATCGTAATATCTTAGAATTTTTAGAGTCTTCTGCCAACAGTTATAAAAAGATTAGCTTGCTGGCATAGCTTTTTCGGAGAAAAGTACGTTCTCTTAGAGGATTGCACATTTTCTATTTAGGTCTGCAGCTCGTATTATTTTATCAAGCAATAAGTTAAAACAGTTACACTATAAGGAATCATCCTGTATGAAACCTCACTTGGTATCAGTATTTAGAGCTGAAGATCATAAAATAAATTATTTTATATTCGTATCTGCTTCTTCTTATATCTTTTTTCGAGGTTTTTTGAATCGGCTTTTAGGGCATTAAATTTTTTTACTCTTTTATATTTTACGTACTTTTCTGCCCATTATCATTTTGGCAGTCTTATTATTGGGATTTCCTGATGAAGTTATGAGTTCCTCTTCGCAAAAAATGGATGCTGATTTCTACATTTCTAATGAAAAGCACCAACCTTGTGTTCACTCGACCCATCTTCATATATGTAGCTGCATTTTAAGCTCTGAACACTTAGCCCACGGCACGGCACGACACTACGGTTTCTTGTGTTCGGAATATCGTTTACGGGCTTTACCGAAGCGACAGCGACTATCACAGAAAACAGTTATTGTTGTTGGGTACTATGTACCCATTTAGTTTACTAACGGTTGTATGTTACGGCTTAAAATAATCAATATGTATATGGACATATAATATTCATCAATCTTCAAAGAGCATTGTCCGTCCATTCATTCCTGTATACGATAACTCAACTAAATATTGAGATATTTTGATGTAAGTTGGCCCACCCATTCCTTGTGTGACAAGTACGTCATTGCATAAGGGTGTTATCGCAGCATTCACGTATCGGTAATTTTAAAAAGTACGAAAATTGCGGTAATTCAATAATTTAATGTGCAATTAAAGTCTTATTTAAATGCAAACAATTCACCGCGAGACCGTCAGTCAATATCTTCATGAGCTCTCTTCCAGTGAGTGGTGTACTTGGAATTCAATTTCCACGCATGACAGAGGAAGAGTTCGAGCTGCCTCGAGAGACCCGAGTAATACTAGCACAATGAAGATCTAGATATTGTTGTCGACTTAACTCCCATCTACATAAACTTGACGCCGATATACCCAGCGTATGTCCTGCATATAATGAGATCCCGCACGACACTAAATACCTCTTTGCATGCCACCTAAAACCTCCTCATCTAACCCCCTTTTCCCGCTGTTCCGCAACCGTTGAAACAGCTCGCTTCCTGGACCTACCGTTACATGGTTGATATGCTACTCTTAGTGGATATTCCATTTTTGATTATTTGTTTTGTTAGGTTGGAAATTTGTGTATTTTTAAAGAAATTTCGATTTTACGGGATATGATAGTTATAGTACGATTTGGAGAATTTGTAGTTCTTCACTATGTGGAAAAATTGTGACTACAACTGGCGGCAGCAATAGTCGAGCATTGCGTACTGCCAATCGGAAGGCCGGTCCTGGTTCCACAAACATTCAAAATTTTAAAAAAGCTTCACATAAAAATCCATCGGCCGTTTGGAGGCGGGTCAGAATAAACCGTACTGTCGTAGGTCTTTCCATTTGTTGTTAAATAATCAAGACACAGACCATAAATTGCAGGAGGAGTTCGGCCGAAAATTGCTTCAGGCAATACAAAGCGCCAATTTTTTATGTACATACATACATATAACTGCGTATGCGTTATGCTGCTTGTCGCATCGCCGTGGACTGAGTGTTCAATTTCTTACGTTTTTCGCTTTGAATAGTAAAATGTTAATAAATTTTGCGCATGGGCACGTATGAAAAGTGTATAAAATATTTTGTTAAGAAAAGGTTATTTAAGTTTCCTCCTTTGGATTTTTCAATTCTAAAAATGAAATAATTTTTTTTTTTTTAAATTTACTTGAAGTTAAAAACTGTTAAAAAATTATTGAGAAATTTGTATGAATTGTGTGTTTGCCAGTTTTGAAAAAAAAAAAAATGCATTTAATTTAAAGCATGGATAATTGCATTTGCTATTGCATTTAAGTATTTCTCGCCAATATTGTTTATCACATACATAGTTGTGCTGTTTTATAGAAAATTAGTGGAAAACTACTGGCGCTGCAGGTAAATATATATTTTAATATTGTCTCGTGATTATTTGTGTGAATATAATTAAATAAATTATATTTAAATTGTGACTCTGCCGAGGATTTATTAAATCAAACGCTCACATGATAAATTGGTTTTCGAAACAAGTGGGAAGTAACGTCTTCCCTTGGTATGATTCAATGCCGTGCAAATACCCTAAACTCCTGCCGTCGTCGTTCCCGCAGTTTTTTATACTCTGCTCGTATTTTAATCGAATTAAATTGATGTTCGAATTTTAGTTGCAGTGCATTCGGTGAAATTCGTATTGTGGTTTTATAAATTGCTCCAACAACAAAAAGTAAACATTGTTTCTTTGTTTTCTTGCGCAAAAAATAGCCACCTAAAAATACCGCGCGTAGTTAAAACACTTCCCTCGTTGCAACGATTTCTGCCGCTCCCCTCCCACGCAGCCGTACGGCATCTACACTCAATGTTTACATAATTACAAGAGGACGAAAGAGAAAAACAAAAATGAATAACGCGTGAATCTATGATAATTGGGTAAATTTAGATTATTGGCAATCGTTTCGGTTGATTCGCTTTGATTCGTTTGTCGCTTTTCGATCTCGATCGATCAATCGATGTTTCGTGGCCAATATTTGAAGAGTGCTGTGCTGATTGCAGCAGCTTCCCTTCGAAGTAGACATTTGCTCGTTCCATTGAAGGAAACCTGGTCGTCGTCAATTGTCGTTAAAACTCGAACGAAAGACGAAACTCTTGTCAAAATTCTTCGGCAAGTTCAATTTAGTTATAGTTAAAATTTCTAATCGAACGGAATCGAACGCGCTCTCTCCCAATCGATCCGCTACGTTGGAATTTTACCGAAAATAATATAAATATATATATATATATATTTTGAACTCTGAAATCGTTAAGCGCTACGAATAATTTTATATATATTTAATAAATCGAATTAATTTATTTTTATTCTTGAAAAAAAAAAAAACGCCCACGCGTTATTGTGTTCATCCTCGTTTGTTTGATCCTTGATCGATAAAAAAAAGCATTCGAAACGATGGGAGAGACGGAAGGTGAAGTCGGTGCGGCTGATACGCGAGCCTCTGAGGAGCCCGAGTCGACTCCCGTGCAGGATACGTTGGCGGTTCCGGTGCAGAAACGTAGAAAATTGAAATCGCCGACTCCTAATACCTTACGCGGTCGTAGCGCTACACCAATACGCGGCAGGAGTCAAACGCCATTCAACTTGTACTTAACCCGCCGTAGTGCTACACCTTCAACATGGCGCAGCATTACGCCGTTTTTAAAACGCGAAGAAAGGGAGAAAACTCCTTTTGAACTCGGCAAAGATATTAAAACCCAAATTACATGTAATAAAGCTGTTTTCGATCGGGCATTGTTTATGGATATTACAGAAAGTGAAGAAAGTCAAAAACCTGTGCGTTACATAACAACCGATATGTCTGTGATTGATCGTGCTGCCGTAATGGATGTATCGAATGTTGAGGTTATATACTTGATTGAAGAGTATGAAGATGTTGAAGAGGAGGAGGAAATCATTGAGGAGGTAAAACCGAAGAAGAAGGGTAAAGGCAAGAAGGCACGAACACCTCGCAAGTCCATTGATAGGGAATCCGCAGGATCCGGTGTAGCATCGGAGGCTGAAGCAGAAGCCGGTGATGGTGCTGGCACTGATCGTGAGGAAAGCATAGAGCCAGATGACTTAGATGAACCTGTGAAGAAAACTAAAAAGAAGGCTGCTCCCAAGAAGAAGGAGAAGAAAGAGAAATCGCCTAGTCCAAAGTTGACCTTGAAACTGGAAATGGGTGGTGGCCAAAAAGCTAGCAAAAAGATGTTCGAGGAGCAGCAGAAACAACAGCCACCTGCACCAAAACCACCACAGAAGAAGAGTAAACTTGTTTTACAAATGGAGGAGCAGGCCAAAGCAGCTGCAAAGGCAGCAGAAGAAGAAGCGGCCAAGGCAGCCGCCAAGCCCAAGGGTGAGACCTTCGCAGAACGTCAAGAGCGTTTGAAGAAAGAGAAAGAACAGCAAGATCGTATCGAGGCTGAATTACGTGCTGCGTTACGCGCACAAAAAGAGGCTGAACAGGCAGAAGAAGAGGAAACCGAAGAACCTGACGAGGAGGGTGATGAGGAAGATGATGAAGCTGGAGATGAATCCTATGGCGGTACTGAGTCATATGGTGGTGACTATGCCGATGAAGGTGGTAGCGAAATCCGGGATGACGAAGAAGAAGCCGAAGAAGTTGATGTAGTAGCTGAACTACCAAAAAGCAAGAAACGGCGTGGCAGTAACTCCTCGGAGGAGTTTACTCGACCCAACCCCTACGACGAAGAACGTTGGAAGCGCATCGCAGAGGAGGAGGGTGAAGAGTTTATGCAACAAATGCGCAAATACAGCATGCGCATCCATAAGAGCGAGAAAGAGCGTGATGCCGAATGGCAGCGTATACGAGAGCAAGCACGTTTACCACATTTCATTGTATTTCTCTCGGATCGTACTGTTGAAGCGGGACACAGTGTGCGTATATCGTGTGCTGTTGGAGGCCCCGAATTATCAGTGAAATGGTTCAAGGATGGCCGACAATTGGAACGCGATGCGACTCATCGCCTTATAAACAACAACAACATATTGGTATTGGAGGTTCTCAATACAACGATATTGGATTCTGGCGAATACACTTGTGTTGTAGCGAACCCCAATGATTCTGTCACATCATCCTGCTATGTGACCATATATGAGGTGTTCAAGGACGAACCAGCACCTCCATCTTGCAAGTTAATCAAAGGTAAGAAACGCAAATAATTCTAGCCTGTAAGGGCGAAGTGAGGTTGAGTGTGTACAACTGTGATTTCATTTACAGAATACTATCATTTACGAGACGACGAATTGACCATCGAATGTCACCTGCACGGTGTTCCACGCCCAGCTGTGGTTTGGATCAAAGGTGGACTTGAGATCAAACCGAGCTACAAATTTACCATGATAGAAGAGGCACATGGCGTCTATAAATTGCTAATTTACAAGCCAAATGATAAAGACAGCGGTACTTACGTCTGCAGGGCGGCAAATTCTAGTGGAGAAGTGAAAATCAGTCATCATGTGGAAGTCGCCAAAAATAGACATTTTCATGCACGCGGTATCTTCCATGCCCGCGATCGGCTCCAAAAGGATAAAGAACTCACCGCAAAGAAAGCCATGGAAGAAGCACTTCAGTCAAAGGCAGCATCTGATCTTAAGCGTACTTCTGTAGCCGCCGAAGCCAGAGAACGAGTACATCGCGCATCGCCAGAGCCTTTGGTATCGCCAAAGCAAAAACTCAAGTTCGCTACACAACTTCGTGATCGTATGGCACTAGAGGGCAGCACTGTACGATTTGTGTGTACTGTCATCGGACCTAGTCCTAGTTGCCGTTGGAAGAAAGATGACCAGTGGGTTGTAGTTGGTCCCAATATCAAGAACTTGTCGGAAGAGGGCAAGGCAATACTTGAGGTGAGCAAGGTAACGTCTGAAGCGTCAGGCGTTTACAAGTGTGTGGCCAAAAACGAACACAGCGAAATCGACACGCAGTGCTACTTCAAGGTGTATAGCGCCCAGGCCGACGGTGACGAACAAGAACCGATTTTCGCGCTCCCACTTCGAGGTATGAGTAGAAAAAATATTGATTTGAGTGTTCTCATAATAAGATTGTGCTGTCAAATCTCATTTTCGGTTATCGTAAACCCGCGAGAAAATCAAAAAGTTGTTATTAAGTGTTTTCATTGTCTGTGAAAAGTCGAACCTTTAATTCGAACCACATATGTATGTATGTTTGTGCATACTCTTGTATATTCATTTATTCAAAGCATCTAAAGAAGCTATTCGGGTCGAGGTATTTATTCCCAAAATAAATACAACAAAAGCGTAAATCACATTCTATCTCCAATTGTTGTATTGTGGCGTTTTCATTGGGTGCCAACATCTATTTGTCTCTATTGATCATTGAGCGTCGCTTTGATGTTATTCTGTTCGCCTCCACAGATGTATACCATTCGTCTCAGAACGATTTAATTATCGACACGAAGGTGCGCGGCAACCCCCGCCCCAAGATTACATGGGTAAAGGACAATCTACCAGTTGTGCTCGATGATCGTCGCGTACAGATCGAGCATTTGGACGGTGTCTGTGAGCTAATCATTAACAAGCCAACACCGAGCGATAGTGGTGTGTACACTTGTCTTGCTGAAAATAAATTAGGCAGCCAAAAGACCACCCATACAGTTGTTGTGGACGTTGTGCAATCCTCCCGCCGTTCGAGTTTATTATCAGGCGTAATGACAGAATCAGATAGTGAAGCTGCTGCTACTGGAGAGGCAGGCGGAAAGAAAGCGGAGAAAGGTAATCGTCTTCCGAAAGGCAAAAAGAAGGACGACGATGCTGAAGCGGGCACTTATGAGCGTCGCAGCCGAATGCCTGACCCATCGCCAAAAACTCAATTGTACTTTATTGCTAATTTATCGAATCGCTATGTGGCCGAGGGTACCAAAGTCAAGCTCCAGGCGGTTGTAGGTGGCCCTGATGCCACATTTAAGTGGCAAAAAGATGAGCAAAATGTAACTTATGGCCCGCGTATTCGCAATATGAGTCGTGAGGGCATGGCATGTTTGGAGTTCCTGAATACGGCGCCCGAAGACTCAGGTCTTTACACGTTGGCAGCACAAAATGAATTCTGCAAAATTACGACGTCGGCCTTGTTGCATGTATACTCACCGAAGGTCAGCACAGATGTGCAACCAATGTTTACGCGATCAGTGAAAGGTAAGTACGTACAACAGTACGTGGTTGCCATACACGCGCTCTGTTCGATATTATTGGACGTGTGCTTAGATATTTGTCTTGGCTGCCAAGTATTTCGTAATCTTTGCAATCAAAACAGTTGCATAATTATTATACGTTTTTATAATTTAACTAGAAACCTATCATCTGAACACCAATGAACTCATTTTGGAGACGGGTGTACGAGGTCAACCTCCGCCGCAAATACAATGGTCCAAGGATAATTTTGAAATAAAGAGTGGTGGGCGTATCCAAATTTTGCAGCATCAAGATGGCACTTGCGAGTTGGTCATAGATAGACCAGATGCTAAAGATTCTGGCAAGTATGTTGTGCGGGCTGAGAATAGCGCGGGTAAATCTGAAATTTCACACACTGTGCTGTTTGAGGGACAAGCTTCTCGTATCGCTGAGAATATCCATGGTGTATTCCATGCTGATAAGAGTCTCTTGCGTCCTAAGGTCGCAGAGGAGGAGAAGCCGGCAACAGCAAAAGGTGGTGATGCGGCCGAAGGTGAAGGTGATGAAAAAGATGGCAAAGGCAAGAAGGGTAAGGGAAAGAAAGCCAAGAAAGAAGAAGAAGAAGTTATCTCATCGGCGACAGATTATGCTTCCGATGCTGGTAGTCTTAAGAAGCGTGAAAAGGTAATTGGCATACATTTTGCCACATCAGTTCGAGATCGTGTTGTGGCCGAGGGCTCCAAAGTGAAGATATCGTGCTTCTTGGAGTCAAAGGAGCCGCAAGTCAAATGGTTCAAAAATGATGAACCCATCGCAAATAGTCCAAAGATAAGGGGCCGTTATTCTGAAGGTTTGTGCTTGCTGGAAATAGCCAGCGCTACCGTAGAGGACAGTGGCGTTTACAAGTGCTGGGCACGCGATGAAACTGGCGAAGCCTCCACTTTTTGTAAATTGGAGGTTTACGCCGATCCGGGAACTGGTGATGTACCACCAACATTCACGCGCAACATCAAAGATACTTACCATGGCAAAATCCATGAACTGCAACTAGATGTGCATGTACGCGGATTACCAACGCCTGCGGTAAGTTGGGTGAAGGATGGTGTTAAAATTGAGTCGAGCGAGAAGTATCAGCAAATTGACCATGATGATGGCCTATGTGAACTTTTCATCATAGATCCCGTGCAAGCCGATAGTGGCAAATATGTTTGCCAAGCTGAAAATCGCGAAGGCAAAACTGAAATCAGTCATATTGTGACGGTCGAGCCTAGACGTAAGCGGCCAGTTTCGCCATCTAGAGAAGCCAGACCGCCAGTGAAACCACAAACAGAGGAGGAGGAAAAAGAGGGCGAAGAACAAGAAGCTGAAGGAAAGGAGGAGAAGAAAAAAAAGAAGAAGGTCAAGGATGATGAAGAGGGCAGTAGCCGACGTGAGGTACCACCACCACCAGATCTAAAAAAATATCTCTATCTGAGAAATTTCCTACCAAATCGTACTGTAAAAGCGGGCAGCAACGTTAAGTGGATGGTCAACATCGATGGCCCCGAGCCGACTGCGCGTTGGTTCCATGGCGAGCAGGCAATTACCTTCGGTCCGAAAAGTAAAATGTCCTGCCAGGATGGTATTGCATGGCTGAATTTGATTGGTGTCACCGAAGAAGATGCTGGTGAATATACATTGCGTGTAAAGGGCTCCGAAAATGAGGTTGTAAGCAATTGCCAACTCTTTGTGTACAACACTGGTGTAGAGGAATTAGTAGCGCCCGTTTTCACTGTGGGTATTAAAGGTAAAAGTGAATATGTTTAAAATGTTTATCATATGCTGTAGTACTGTGTGACTTGTGCGTGCAATATTTTAGTCGAAATGTTGGAGATGTGCTATCATGTAAGTGAATTAAATTGTTCCCTATGCTGAATGCTGCTACTAACGCATTAGTTATAAAGTTAGCTTCTTATGAAATATAGGATAAATCGGAAAAGTTCATTCATTGTTTATATGTATATGTCATTATTTTCACCTTTATGTTCGCCATTTTTTGTTCTAACCATATCCTAGATTCATATCATAAAGATCGGAATGAGGTCTCGCTAGAATGTAAAGTATCTGGAAATCCCAAACCTCAAATCTACTGGCAAAAAGACAATACATTACTGCCCTTGGACAGCGGCAAGTATAAGTATGTAGACTCAGGCGACGGTATCACACAGCTTATCATTACCGAACCAATTAAGGCCGACACCGGTCTATATACCTGTTATGCGGAAAATGATAGCGGCCAGATGAAGATAAGCAAATTTTTAGACATTTCCGATTACGTACAGAAATTAACGCAAAAGCGCACGCTGCAGAAGGTCATACAGGAAACTGAACCAACCGTCTCAGCCAGCAGTAATGAACGTGAAAGCAGCGCTCAACTTAAGTCTAAGATTAAGGACGAAAAGCTAAAGCTAACAGCAGAAACCGCAATGAAACCAATGTTCATATCGGAGGGTAATAAGGCGCAGTTAATATTCTATGTGAGCGGCCACATTGAGGAAGTTTATTGGTTGCGTGGAGATGAACGCGTAACGAAGGATATGCGCCATAAAATGTATAATATTAACGGTGCAATTAGTTTGGAGATACACAACGCCAGGATCGATGATACAGGCATTTACAAGTGTGTGGTGCGAAACAATAGAAACACCATTGAAAACTGCTGCCATTTGACGGTATACGATCAACGTGCCGATAAGCTGCCGAATAGTTTTGCGAGCGATATTAAAGGTAAGACTCATAAGAAACGCGAACAAATGAGGATATCAGCAGATATTTTAAAATTTTCTCCCCTGCTGAGCTGTGTGTAGATCATAATTGGAATTCGATCATATTACGGTTGCCAAACTTTACGAAGTGACAGTTATGGTTAGTCTGTTCCTCCGTCCGTCTGTTCATTTGAGAAATAGTCTAGACTTGAATAAAAAGTTGGAAGGGAAATGTAAAATCGTACGAAAATCACGTACAACTCTCATATAACGGTAATTGCTATAACTTGAATCATCGCCTTCATTAAGTACTTAATGTAGTCATGCGGATCACATTAGTCGTTGGACGGATAAAAATTCGGGTGTAAAACACGACTGTCGTGGGAACTTTACCTCTTACGACTGACATATCTTACATGAGAAAAATTCTTTATATATTCCCTTATGTGGTTTATGGCTAATTACTTTTACAAAAAATTTAATGAACAGAATACCTAAGGGAAATGCAAGTATTTTTAATTCCAGATTATTAGAAAATATTCTTAACACAACCAGGTCATTCAAACTCAATTCAGCTGTCAATTGTTGAACCACCCAAAGAGAATCATAGTCGAGTTATCTGTTCACTTTTATTTCGCAAATCGATGTTATTGAGCAGAGGTAAAAATTTTAGACTACAACAAAGAGATGTTCAGCCCAAAAAAAGGTTTCAGCCAAGATTTGAAGCTTTTGATTTTTCCTTACGCAGATTATTATGTTAGAAAACAGACCAACGTCGCTGGTTTAAGATGAAAGTGCTAGCAAATATCTTTGGCAGCGTTAACGAAAAAAAATGAATGCCTTAACAATGCGCTGATGAAGTTTCTACAATTCAATTGTAGTTATTGGTTTATATACTTAATGAAAATCCTAAAATTTATAACAAACTTAAATGCAAATACTTTACGGAACATTTGCTGGTATCTCCATTTTTCAAATAAAATTTTACAGAATTTTCATTTTGATTAAATGGAATTTAATTAACAACTTGAACATTTACCTCCACTTTCCTACTCTAGAATCATATGACGCGCATCGTAACGAGATCACATTTACATGCCAAGTTCACGGTCGTCCAAGTGTCACATGGTTACGCGATGATCATAGTATTTCCAATAACCGCTACAAGTCTGTGGAAGAGGTGGGCGGTGTGCGTAAATTGATCATACGCAATCCCATTCCCAGCGACTGTGGTACATTCTCCTGCTTTGCCGAAACCAATGAACACATCCATGCAATTAGTAAATCCATACGTACCAGTGATCTCAAGCAGCTTATGGTCTCAAGTGGTGAGATTAAAGCCAACGGCGAATATATATCACACACAAGACGTTCCTCGCAGACGCCTTACGAAACATTAACAAGTAATGGCGAAACAGCACAGCATTATAACACAGACGAGGCCATCAAACGCAGCAGAGAACGTCGTCCATTGGCTATGATCGCACAAAGTAAACCATTGTTTAGTACTTTACTACATGATAGAACTGTCGCTGAAGGTACTGGCATAAGACTGAGTTGTAATGTGGTATGTGATGGTGATACACGCATCGAGTGGTTGAAGAATCATCGTCCGCTGCCCATTGATGGACATTATTTAACACTCTTTCGTGATGGCGTTGCTTCGTTGGAAATCGGCGCAACAAATGTGGATGATAATGGAAATTATACATGTCGTGCCATAAACGATTATGGCGAAACATTTACACATGCTCAATTGCGTATCTATAAACATTTCGAGGACGCCGTGCAGCCGTCAGCATTTGTACAGTCAATCAGAGGTGGAGTATTGTTCTATTGGAATTAGCAACAAAGAAAATAATTTATTTCACTTTAATTCACTAACTAGAAAACTATTGATTGAGGTTAGGTAATTGCAGTTATAGTCAAAAAACTTGAATAGTTTTTAGTTATTTTATTCAATGTAATAATTTTTCGTAAATATCTCGTTTGAGTGCTCTGTGATTAAATGTGGTTTTTGTTTTGGTATTGTTTAGTAGCAGAAGATGATAATCAAAGTATAAATAGCAAAAGCAAAAGCATATTTTGAACTGAATTTTGATTGCCATCGCTGCTGCTCATTCGTACTTTACTTATGTATATATATTAACTCGTGTATTTTTCCCCTCAGACACTTATTCGATAAATGAGAATACGTTAGTACTGGATTGCCGTGTACGCGGTAAGCCACGCCCCGAAATCCAATGGATGAAGGGCTCCGATTTGTTAAACGAAGGCGACCGTTACAATATCATCAACTCTGCCGATGGTTATACCAAATTGATAATCAATAGCCCAACCGAAAAGGATTCCGGTCTTTATGCCTGCGTAGCTCGAAATGAGGCTGCTGAAAATAAAATTACTCACCAAGTTGACTTCGTTGGCCGGGAACGTTTCGCACTTGAGAAAACTCACGGCTACTTCCATCGTGATCCCAATAAGCCACACTTCGTGGTGCCATTAAGCAACCAAACGGTGTGTCCTGGCGGTACAGTAGCCATTTCGGCAGAATTCATGAAATCGTCCACCCCTCTAGATGTTCAATGGCTGCGCGATCGCAAAACTGTTGCTGGCCAACCGGGTGTACAAACTTTTATGGAAGGTGGTGTCTACACGTTAGCCATATTGAATGCCCAGCCCGAGGTAGAGGGCACCTACACGTGTCGTGTCTCGAACGCTTTCGGTCGCATTGAATCGCATGCGAGTGTTGATGTCGCTGTCGGTGCACCGAAGAATGAACGTCCACCGCTTTTCTTATCACGACCAGAACCGGAAATGAAAATATTAGTGGGTGATCCATTCTCAATTTCGTTCCGTATTGCGGGCGAGCCAAAACCAAAATGTAAGTTTTTAAATTGTTAAGTGTGCATGGATATGGTTTATTGCCGTAATTGTTTTTTGCCACTTTCGCAACTTACAGTGACCTTCATGAAGGGTACCAAAGATATCACGAAATCGGATAGAGTTAGCAAGGAAGTTTCAGATGATTACACCAGATTTACTGTACAAAGTTCTCAAATCTCTGACTCGGGTACATATTTTGTCGTTGCGCGTAATAACTTTGGCACTGATCGAGTATTTGTGACCATTGCGGTAAGTTACCTGAGATTTCATGTCGTACAGCTGACATTGCACATATTTTACTTAAATTAAAAGCAAACAACTAACCGAAAAGTATTCCAACGAAGGGCAAGTGCATTAGTCTATTACCTGTGGATTAAGGTGTTCAGTAAATAAGTCCACCCACTTATAGGGTTTTATCTTCAGAATTCAACAACAAATAAAAAGGTCTCAAAGAGAATTTTTAACCGTTTCTAAAAGTTTGTAAAATTTAATTAAATATTCACTTTACCGTTAAACCATATAGAGCTGGTGCCTGTAGAGAAACTTTCTCAAAATTCAAAATAAATGTGATAAACAACTTAAAGTCTGACGAGCTCATCTCGTCTTTAAATCGGTTTTCGCAGCATAACTTGTGGATAGGAAACTACTGCGTCTGCCTCATTTGTTGAGGCTTATCGGCATACCTTTAATATAAATAAAGACTATAAAAAACCTCGTACTAACCTTTAAGGCAAACAGGATAATCCTTGATCAGCTTAGAGTTGTCCGCACTCTGGTTCAGAACTATCACGGAAGACTGTTTCAAATTCTACCAAAATGTCGATTATAGCAATACAAGACCTATAAGGTCGAATACATTTGTGCTGATGACTTTCGACTGGAGTTCTTCGTAGACTATTGGAAGAACCTATTCTTAAGAGATCAATAAGTCTGACAACAAAAAGACAAATAGAAATCAGTTTCATCGTTACATGGGTTGATTTCACTCAATAGCAACAAGTAGTTTTATCTTGTTGTTCTTTCAAAAATCATACAGAGAATTTTCCAGAGTATTTAACGAGGTACAAGAACATCTTGGGATTGCTAACAATCCCTGCAGTTAAGATATTATTGGCCTTCCATTTCTTAGCACACCGGCAAAGAAGGCGAAAAGTCTATTTTAAGAGAATCAGGTGCCAACCATATCTATCTGACTTCCCGGGTTTCGGCCGACTCAGATATATTGCCTTGCTCTTCTCTTCACATAATCAGTTTCATGCAATAACGTCATTCGCTTTTCTAACTCTTTTATTTTAGGTTAAGGCTCCCAAAAGGAAAGAAAGCCACACCTCTTCTCTAAGCTCTGCTTAAATACTAAATCTTCTTCACTTGAGGAGATTTTCTTGTTTTATGTTTAGTGGTTGTGTATTTCGAATATATTTTTATTAAATTTACGTTTTAAATATTTTCCCATATTTGTTTGTGTAAGTGATTGTTTTTGTTGTTTCGTTCGTTTATTTTCGTTTATATGTGCGTGTACACCATCTTCGAACAATAGGTAATGCCACGCGCACGCTCCGAAACGCCAACATCGCCCCGCTGGGGTCAGCGACTCGAAAGTTTCCCTGATGTTTCATATTTCAGAGGTGAGTTCGTGCAGAAAATATTTATAATAAATTGTATAGTTCAATGTTTTCCTTATGGTGGTGATCGTAGCGTAAAAGATTGTTTCGTCAGTCCTACTGAGTTTTGTTTGAAATATTCTGTAATGTGGTTCCAGATTCCCTCCTTTTTCGTTATGTCCACTGATTTGTTCATTTAAACATTTCTTTCAAACTCTTTCTAAACTTTTGCAATTCTGTATGTTTTTTTTCCAGATTTTACAAAAACACTATATGGATTTGAGTTTGTTTTAAACATTTTTATAGAATTGAGTTTCTTGAAATTTTATTGTATTTAAATTCTTTTAGTATTCCAACTTATAAATTGCATATTTTACTTTAATACACAATTGTATTACAATATTTTGTATACGTATCCCGTTCAATGTAATCAATTGATTTAAAATTGTTTACATCCAGCTTATACATTTAGATAAAAAAAATACATATAAAATAAAAATGTTTCTCCGGGGATTTGTCTGTGTTTTATTGAGCTTTGATTGAACTTTGACTTCTCTCTGGCCACAAGGACTCCACGACCACCACCTGACTTTTTCGATAATTGGTTTATTGTTTATTGATAAACCTTATTTATTTTAATACGACGCAGATCCACCAGGTGCCATCTCTACCGAGCCATTGGTGGTAGATTCAGGGCCCACGCACATCTCCCTCTCATGGGGTAAACCGAAACGGGATAATTCTGCGCCAGTTATTGCCTACCGCGTGGAAGCGTGGGTAATTGGACATGAAGGAGGTGCGATGTGGAAGGAGCTTGGCTTGACACCTATTAACTCGTTTGATGCCTTCAATTTGAAACCTAATGTCGAATATCACTTCCGTGTTACGCCGAAAAATCGTTATGGCTGGGGCCCATCAACGCAAACTAGCTGTCCAGTGCAGGTGGGCGGCGCGGAATGTCTACCGGAGTTCGTTAAAATATTGCCAGGACAAATGAAGGCGCTATTAGGTACACAACTAGTGTTGGAGTGCACCGTACGAGGTGCACCGCGTCCACAAATCGATTGGTATAAAGATGGTATGCACATTAATCCACTAGCTGAACGTGTACGGATTCGTCAAATTGGCTCAACCTGCACGCTGATCATTGCGCCCATTTGTGAATTGGATGCAGGTCGTTATACTTGTGAGGCAACTAACTCCAAGGGCAGAGTTTCGACTTTTGCGCGCTTACAAATAGTCACCGATCCGCGACTGTATGAAGCCGACACGAAGCTCAAGGAAATTGTACACTCCGCTGATGTGGCACATGCTGGCGACACCTTACCCATATTCACTATGCGTTTAAGGGATCGACGTGTGCAGATGACATACCCAGTGCGATTGACATGTCAGGTTCTGGGCTATCCAACACCTGACGTGATTTGGTATAAAGATGATCAAGAAATCACAGAGAACCGACGCTGTCTCATTACAGACGATGGCCAGTTCCATACGATTGAATTGGCTAGTACCATTTTGGATGATAGTGGTGTTTACACCTGTACAGCTAAAAATGAACTCGGCTCTGTATCGTGCCACTGCTCGTTAGTCGTGGACAAGGGAATACGAGCCTACATTTCACCTGAATTCTATATGCCGCTTGATCCGCTATATATTTATCAAGAACGTCAGGAGATACGTCTCACCGCTAAAGTCGAAGCCTATCCAACTGTGGGTGTTTCATGGCACCGCAATGGTGTGCGTTTACGTCCCAGCAGACGTATAGGCGCCTCACTGGACTCCAACGGCTTTGTTGAATTAATAATATCGGAGGCAACACCATATGACGCCGGCATTTATGTTTGTGTCGCCTCAAACGCAGTGGGTAAGGCAGAGAGCAGTTGTCGCGTAGTGATAGAGGAGTCGGATGAAGATCAACAGCACCAAGGAGAGCGCGGTACCAGTCAAATACCGACTATTGTGCGGGGTGATTTACCGTAAGTTGAAAGTAATAGTGAAGAGTAGTGTAGTGATGATATCCTTTCATTTCATTCTCAAACTATAGGTATTCGAAGGAACCGATGTTTGTCGTGAAACCACGCTCCAGCGAGGCTTATGAAGGTGATACGGTGATAATATGCTGTGAAGTTGTTGGAGATCCAAAACCTGAAGTAGTTTGGTTGCGTGATTTCTTAAATGTAAGTTAGAAACGCTTTCCATTTTATACGATATTTCATTTTCATATTATATCTATAACCCAAACTGTTTATAAACTTTAGCATTTTTTAATTATTGGGCCTTGGTTCTGTTAGATGATCATATACGATGTTCCCTGCTTTTTAGAGACAAAAATACAGAGAGTTCAACTTTAATGGGGAATGTTTATTATCATTCGAAAGAACATTTTTGGGCTCTTATTTTTTGATGATTATCTCTCATAAATGTTGGCCACGGCTATGTCTCAGATGGTCCATCACTTTAGTCCAATTTCCGATGACTCGTTCGACCATTTCGACTGGTAATTGGCGAATGACACGAAAGATATTTGGCCTGAATTGAGGCTTTAGACTTTAATAAATAATTGGTTATCATGGCGCGATAACGGTCGGTTACGTTCTCACCGACATCATTTTGGACACACCACACCAAACCATTATTTTTTCTGGATAAAATGAGAGCTCTTGCATCTCTTCAGGTTGCTCTTGGTTCCAAGTGCGGCATTTTTGTTTGTTTACATATACATTAAGCCATTAAGGAGCCTCATTGCTAAGCAAATTTTTTTCCAGAAAAGGTCGGAGCCCATAGAGCGAAACATTGTCGCTTGGGAAGGCCGATCAGCTCCAGTTCTTGCACCAGCTCTTTTCCATTTAAGATCTCGACGTAAAATGCGCTAACTCATTCCATACGCCAGTCCGAGTTGCTGCGAACTGTGCCGAATCGACCCTCCACGGTCTTCGTGTACACTCTCAGGCCGCTATATTTTCTTCTCTGCAAGCTGGACGTGCTCTATTTTGTCTAATATTATTCAATTATCTTGACCAGAAATTGAGCGAATCGCGGGAAACTCATTATTTACAGAACAAGAATTTTCGTAATAAACTTGCACGATTTGTAAACTTTGTCCAGGCGTAAGTCTTTCCATGATGAAATGCCAAATAATTCTGAATAAAAATATCATGAAAGCTTGACACAACCTCAAAAAAAGGCAATAATTGTTCTGTTCCAAAATATTTTAAACAAAACTTTTCAATTAATAATGTGAAATGTTGACTTTGTTAAAAGTTAAGTTTTTTCACATATTAAGGAAGTTGTCCGGCCTGCCAAAACCTTTTCGAGGCATATACTCGTATTTCAAACAAAGGAACGTATATAGTTAATTTTTCCAAGTGCAGTCGCCCCTCGGCAGAGAACTTCAACTCCTCTGAGTACAATTCTCAAAAAACCATCAGCCGTTCGGATTTGGTTTAGTATAAACTGTAGGCCCCTCCATTTATTGGAAAAAATATCAAAATGCAAAATCACAAATTGGGGGAAGAGCTCGTCTGAGAATCGCTTCAGCGGTTACAAAGCGCCAATTATGTATTATATAATTTCGGAGGGAAAAACGAAATATTGTTGGTTGCTCAAATAAAATGACACGAAATGCGATTTCTTTTCAATTTAAAACCGAAACAAGTAGAAGAAAAACAGTAACATCAACCTCAATGGTCAGTCGCATAGTACGGGAAATAAATCTCCGCTCGTGTCAGCTGCAGAAGTGAAAAAGGAATTACAACTGCCGATGAGCACTGAGACAGCAGACTTAGAAAACATAATCTAAAAGTCCACTTTCCACGAGAATTACCTCTTCTAACAAGTAAGCATGTGTCCAAGTGGTTGCAGTTTTCTAAATCTCCCCTAGAATGGCAAATTGTTATCATATTTGGTGGAAAGGGCTCGCGATCCTATGTTAGAAGATTACCGAATTCGTAATATAATAAAAAAATGTACCCCCAAAGACTAAAACATGCATTATATAAGGTGATTTCATCGTTTAATTCTATGATGGATGCAACGGAATACATCAAAATATAAGGTTGACAAATATCTCCAAATATCTTCCGCTTTTTTGTCTTTTGAATTTCGCGGCGCTACAGAGCTCGTATCTGGCAACATACATATACATAATTTGAAAGGTCTTGACATAACCTACAAAACAACGTTATACATGATTAGTTTGGATATTGCGTTCAACAGTTATAGACGTGTAATTCGCGCAATTTTAAAGTTTTCCTTCGTTAAAGGCAAACGCTAGAGAAACGTTCCGCGAGATTAATTGGTGTTTTGGGGGATGGTACTCTATCACTTCGAACCGCGGAGGAATGGTTTCGACGATTCAGAGCCGGTGAAAACGACACCATGGATAAGCCAGCCGGCGTCCCAAACAGTGGCCAAGCCGGGATTGACGGCCAGGAAGGTTTTGCTGTGTGTTTGGTGGGATTGGAAGGGAATCATCCACTATGAGCTGCTCCCATATGGCCAGACGCTTAATTCTACCATCTACTGCGAACAGCTGGACCGCTTGAAGCAGGCGATCGACCAGAAGCGTCCAGAATTGGCCAACAGGAAGGGTGCAGTGTTCCACCAAGACAACGCCAGACCACACACTTCGTTGATGACTCGTCAGAAGCTACGGGAGCTCGGATGGGAGGTTTTATCGCATCTACCATATAGCCCGGACGTAGCGCCAAGTGATTACCACCTGTTCCTGTCCATGGCGAATGCCCTTGGTGGTGTGAAGTTGAACTCAAAAGAGGCTTGTGAAAAGTGGCTGTCCGAATTCTTCGCAAATAAGGAGGGGGGCTTCTACGAGGAAGGTATTATGAAGTTGCCGTCTAGATGTAAACAGATCATCGAACAAAACGGCGCATATTTTAACTAAATCCGATAACTGTAACACTTTTTATAAAGCATTGAATGAAGAGCAAAAAAGCGGAAGCGGATATTTGACACCCTTATATTAAGTGATGATCTTTGGGGCACAGTGCAACAGGCCTGCCACTCCATTTCATTCCAAAAGTGTCTCAGAACTTGCAACCAAATATTAAAATCAGTACGTAAGGATAGCTACTCATATTAAAGCCACAGCAAATGATATTAAAACAATTTTTATATTTTTGCTCTCAGGTAAAGATGACGAGTGCTCTTATTTTGACTGATTTTTTTCAGATTAATGGAAAAAATTGTATTTTTGGCCCTAAGCTGAATTTAAAATTAATTCGTTTACTTCTTATCTTTATGTATACATATTTTTCCACTTTTTGAATAAATTACGAAGCCTGCATTTGAATAAATACGATTTTGGTACCTATTTAGAGTCTGGTATACTAGTGATGCTGCTGTCAAATTAGATGTATACCCGTATATTGGCTTAGTTATAATCATCTACGTAAATGATGTAACTATCACTTAGATTTGTCTGAAAACGCAAGCTGATTGATTATTTCATTAACTCACATCTCCACCTTTTTCGAAGCACAATCTTCAGTATTGAAATGACTCACCACTCCAGTCAGTAGAATCGAAAATTTTCGTCATCATCGCATCTGTGACGTTAATTGACGCATTTTGAGTGCAATGCACAACGAAAGCCAGACTTTAACGAAATGCGACAGGTGAGCGCTGGCTGTGCTGGTTAGCTCCCAGTTACGTTTTAGTTTAGCTGTTGAACGCTACGAAAGCAAATGTGGGTTGAATGCGCGGCTTCCTACTATTGAATACAAGTTGATATAAACATAAGTGAATACATACATACGTGTATGTACAGGAGCACATACATATATAGAAAAAAGAAAAATAAAATAGATAATTCATAAATATATTAGCATGCAATAAGCAATTAATCAAGTGTGGAAATTGTTGAAAAATTCTCAATATAACTGTAAAACGCCCCAACGTTCCAACGTTAACAAACTACAACTGAACAGCCTCCGTTGTCAATTCCATTTGCAGTAATAAATTAATTTGCAAATTTGGTGCTCCGATTGTGCGCGTGTCCATATATAATAAATATATTATATTACACACACACATACATACATACATACATATATACATATATACTTTTTTGTGCGCCTACTTGCTCACTTGGGTGGTGGCGAGCTGCTACGTCATTTCAAGCGCCTCCAAGTGGTCTTTCAGCGGTTAGCTTCTGGCTGCACGTGCGTGGCTGTTGCTCGCCCTCAGTGGGTCTGCTTTTTTTATTTTGCTGACGCTCAACTCTTTAATGAAAAGTGAAAAGTGAAGTGCAAATAAAATACATATTTGTTTGAATAAATTACATTCAAATGCTAATTAATTAGTCGATATACGAGTATATTAAATGAACAAAAAACAAACAAAAAAAAAAAAAATTGTTGGAAAAAAGTTCTTGAAACAACACCTTGGAAAAATTGGAGTGTGTGGTAACAGTTTCTATTTGCTGAAAATATTTTGTGCGTCTCCATTAGCATTACTGTTGAAACTTTCGCGCTGCGAAGACGTGCGTGCGTAAAACTGCAACGGTCGAAATTCAAAACCCTCTTTCCAGGATTCTGGTTTTACAGTTGTATTGTGCGCGCAAGAGATTTCTGTGTTTATCATAATTATATTTGCCATCTGTTCGGAATCTGTGCGCGTTAGTGCATGCAAAGTGTTTAGCTTAGGAAAGGGTAATTTGTGGTGAAGAAAGAATTCTATTAATAATTAATTGGATTAATTTCAGCAGGTAATTATTACATGAATTTACAAAAAAATATTTCTTTTTGTTTTTAGTAATTTAAACTTTTTTAATGATGTATTAGGTTATCACACTGATTTGGGGAATACGTTTGTTCGGGTTGGAAAGCAAAATAAAAAGTAATACTAATAATAATAATAAATATAGCAATAAGTTAATACGGTCTTCTCCTACCTTTCGACCAATTCACTGATGCCGTTCCGTCAAAAATCGTCTCCTCTGGTGTCGAAGAAATTGTTGAGACAGTCGAGTTTAAAACACTCCTTATCCTGTTCGACATGAAGCGGAAAAGCTGATAGTCGGTAGGCGCAGGGTCTGAAGAGTACGGTGGATGCTGAAGAATCTCTCATTGACCAAGTGAAGTTTTGACGTCTTGTACAAAGGCATCTGGCTATTTGGTGGTGCAAGATAATTTGGCCTTGTTGATCAGATATTTTCAGT